TTGAACATTTATAGGGTGACCACACAACAAAATAAATCAGCAAGTAACCTTTCTTTGGTGCTACAGAAATCTGTCACACGTGGCTAGCAAACAAGGGGTAACCATTAAGGTGTTTAATATTAAAAACAGCAATTTTGTGCCAAAGCTGGTTTGGCTCAGTGGATAGAGCGTTGGCCTGTGGACTGAAAAATCCCAGGTTCGATTCCGGTCAAGGGCATGTACCTTGGTTGTGAGCACATCCCCAGTAGGGGGTGTGCAGGAGGCAGCTGATAAATGTTTCTCTCTCATCAATGTTTCTAACTCTCTATCCCTCTTCCTTCCTCTCTGTAAAAAAATCAATAAAATATACTTTTTTTAAAATAGCAATTTTGTGATTATCAGTATCAAATCATCAGTAAGACTCAGTAGGTGATATCTTGCTCATATGGGTGTCCCATTAAAAATGTGCTCTGTTCTTTTATCTGCAAACATACAATTCATTCAGCAGAAATAAACTTCAAATGAGAAGAAAGACTCTGAGTATTTTGAGTATTATAGTTGAATGTTATTTTACAAGAGTGAAATTATTTCAGACTAGGTAGACAACCTAGAGGAAAGCAAGGTTACCCGCACCAAATATTGTGTCATTAACTATCATTTCCAGGACTTTATGGCATAATAACCTTTTGGTGTTATTCCAGTTGGGATAAAAATAAAGCATCCATTCAAGTAACTGCCCATGTAATAAAGAAATATTTTGTAATATGGACTCATACCAACAGGATTATTATTTCACACAAAATTGCCAGTATTTCCACAAAACAAAAATGTAAATTTATCTCCAAAATATGTGTTCTGCTCCATTTAGTAATAAAAACTGAAAAAAAGGACACATTAAGAGTAAAACTGAGGTGTGTTACACTATCACAGTTCTGTGAGCTTTCTGGAATTTAAGTACTACATGGCTGTTTCCTTACTCTGGGTCAATGGCTTGACCTTATCTGGTGAGAGATAATTCCTGTTTTAGTGGAGATGACCTTTGAGGTCTCTTCCTTCCATCTCTAGCACTCTTAGATTCCACTTACTTATGTAAATTTGAGTACTCTGTAAATTACTCCTGGGAATGTGCTAAACTTGGGTGATTCTGGCATCATTTTTTTGCATTAAAGTGATGTCACAAAACTAAATACTGCTCAAGAAGCCTGAGGGAGTTTGTTATTTAACAAAAACTCATAGTATTTACAACATGCCCAACATTGTGCTTTGTATTAATTCATTTCTACAGTATTTTCAGTCTACTTGGAAATTTAAGTTTCTGTGAAGCTTAATGAGTATGTGAATTGGCATTTATCTATTAATTAAAATAAATAAACCCATTCACTGACTCTTTGAAATTAAAACTATTCATTTCTACCAATTAAGATCATCCCATGATAACACAAATCTGGTCAATTAACTCTCCTTAGATTGCCTTTAGGACCAAGTCTAAATTCTTCAACAAATCATAAAGGTGCTGCAGCATCTCTCTGCTTTCCTGTTTTGTATCATCTGTCCCTTAAATCTTAACTATTTGTGGTTAATAAAAATGTGTCCTGACGATTCTCGGAGATAAGAGAAGTGGGGGATGTGGGAAGAGACTGAACATAAACTGTGCACCTATGCAAGAGGACAATGGGGGATGGGGAAAGGGCAGAGGGTGGGGTGGGAACCTGGTGAAGGGGTGCAATGGAGGGGGAAAAAATGAGGAACATTTGTAATAATATGAACAATAAAGATTTATTTAAAAAAATATGTCCTGACTCCATGTGCCAATGTACTTGCTGCCCCTTGGGTTTCATGTTCCTGTCCCTTCCCTTTATTATGGCCGATTCCTATTCTCAAACAGACCTCACACTGCACCTCCCCCAAAAAAGTCCATCCTGACTGCTCCCTGGGCTAAATAATAGGTCTCCTCGGCATCCAGTTTTCTGGGAAAACCAGAAAATCACGCAGAAGGGCAGACTGTGACTGCTATTCACTCATCCATTTTCTTAAGTGTCTCTAAATCCCTTAAAGGCAAAAAATGTGTCTTTTCTCTTTAATGTTTTGATTGATTTTTCTTAGAGAGAGGGGAAGAGAGAAGGAAAGAGAGATAGAAACATGGATGAGAGAAACATTGATTGCTGCCTCCTGCACGCCTCCTGCATGACTGGGCAGTGGGGATAAAGCCCACAGCCCAGGCATGTGCCCTAACAAGGAATCCAACCACTGACTTCTTGGTTCATGGGGTCAGTACTCAACCACTGAACCACACTGGCTGGGCTCTTTTCTCTTTAAATTCCCAGGGCCTTGCACAAAAGTTGGTACACAGAAGAGGCTCAAGTAAATAAATGCCTTTAAATAAACAAATCAACAAATGAATATGTGTTCTGTGAGCTAACAGAAAACCATCCTAATTTTATTTATAAGGTAGAAAGGAAGTTGCTAAAAAAAATATCTAAGGGTGGCTAAGATGCCATAAATTCTATCTATTTAATTACCAAAGAAATACCAAGGGCCACATTTTCAGGTCAAATTACAGCTCTTAGGAAACTAAAAATGCCACAATGCAAGAAAACTCCCTCGTTTCCTAATTGCCAGAAAGGCTGGCATATGGCAAGTAGGTCTTCACAACTCCTCCCAATTCAGTCCTCGAGTCAGTGATTTCTGACTAGAGTTTCAGGAGCACGGGAAGCTGCACCGGCTCCCCAGGTGATGCAGACATCCAGCCAGATGTGCTGTGGGTAGTTCACTACGTGCCAGGCACTGAGATGGTTTCCTGTGATAACTACTCTGATGACAAGACAGTATCTTCACTTTCATTTCTGACTTGGACTAGTAATCTATGCGTGTGTTTAACCTAAGTCCTACCAATTCATTCACTCCTCACTCCAGGCAGAGTCTTCCTTTTTAATTGTGAGGTTTAGTGCTGTAGAAAGCAGAAACTGCAGGGGCCCAGGGTATCTTCTGCCCCAAGTGGAGAGGCCTAGGAACAAAACAAAACAAAAAAAAAACCCTGCAGAAGTGGAGCTCCATAAATGGGGAGAAAAGGAGGAGGGCTGGCCTGTTTTCCAAAATGCTGGTCTTTCACCCACACGGAGAAGGGCAGAGGTTTCTGCCTGCCCACAGTCCCAGCCAGAGGCAGAGACAGAGCTTCCAGGCTCAGTCCTGCATATCTCTCTATCTGCATCTCTGCTTCCTTCCGTCTCCCTGGCTCTCTGAGAAAGGCTTTGAGATTTGTATTAAAGCACTGGCTCTATCAGCAGAAATTCACACTGTAGGAAACTCTACAGGATGAAAGACCCCAGGTCTTCTATGAATACATTGCAAAGAAAAACAAACAAACAAAACAAAAAAATAGAGGGAAACCATGTAGTAAAGAGACTTCAAAAAAAACCCCAAAAAACACTAATTGCAGTCAAAAGACATTGTTTGGGTTCTGGATCAAACAAACATAAATATGTATGTAATATATATATATATACACTTTATCTATTGATATACATTTTAACATATTTACATATTTAATATATTTCTATGTTAGATAGTATATGGTTACTTTTTTAAAGAATCCTTATCATTTAGAAATGCATAGTAAACTTTTAATAAATGAAATGCTATGATTTGCTTCAAAATAACCCAAGGAGGGAAAGAAAATAGGTATGATATAGGTAAAAGAAGATGGATAATTAAATTAATTGATAGTTAATATATTGCTAATTGTCAAAGTGGGGTTCATTATGATATTCTACTTTTGTGTGTGTTTAAGATTTATTCCTCCACAGCAATTATTCTAACTCATTGAAAAATAAGACAATGCCTCCTGCTTCTTCAGTTTTACTATGGAAACAAGTTAAAATGAAAAAAGAAAAATGGGCACTTACCAAACATTAATTCAAATCATGGAATGTTTCACTAAAGGCTTGGCATATTAGATTTTTTTTACTACAGTAATCTAACTTTGATAACTATTACTGTAGCCCTTTAAGTTAATTCTTCACTTATATTAAAATTTTAACATTTGGCTATAAATACAAATTTAAGTGGTATTTTTATATTTTTACATATTTTACACAATGCAAATTGTAAGTTTCTTCAGTTAAGTTTACAAAATTTCAACTACATGAACAAGTTCCGTTTTAATATGCACTTAAAGGTAGGTGAATTGGTTGTCAAAATGATGCATATGAATTTTTAAAAAGTGTTTACAGAGCCCCAGTTATTTACTGAAATTCACCAGAAAATGCAAAATCATTTTCAGGCATACCTGTGGATGTGTAATATTAATCCAAACATAGGTCACTGGTAAACTTCAGTTTTTTTTAATCATAATTTACAAATGCCCAATAAATACCATGGCCCTAATGACCTAATGACATCAAGAAGGCTGCTACCGACGAAGAAAGCAGGGGGGTGGGGGGCCGCCTTTTCTAGAAAGTGGAGGTGCCTGGACACATCTCCGGGGTCCACAGATGGAGCAAGAGGAGAAGCCTTCAGTTTGGGTTATTTTTCTGGTTTGAGTTTAGGTGGGGATGTCTAGATTTGTTTTTGTTTTGTTTTTCTCCAAATTTCTACAGCACCATTTGTGATTTAAGCCACTTAGAAGTCTTCTCTTAGCATTAAAACTACCACCACAATACTAATGATGTGAATCCTGCCCAAAGAACATATCCCTTCTTGCCCAAACATGGCTTTTTGCTTTTCCTGGAGAGGAGAGAGGGTCTCCCGCCCTTTCAGCTCAGCAGCCACACTGCCGGAGGCATACTGCACCCAGTCCTCCTAGGCACAGTCCCTGGCCTGGGGTTGTCCAGGGGTTTTGTCCCCTGTTCCTGTTCTTTCTTTCTTTATTTTACTGTTATTTTTTTAATAGGGAGTGCCCTGCCTAGTAGGCTTGCGCTCATTTCACCTATGACACTGCATCTCCAGGGCAACCAGAGCAGCCGCGGAGCCGGGTGGGCTGGGCAGCGCGCGGGGACCACCGCCCCCGGGGCCGCGCCTCTCACCTGAGCGCCGCCGGGGCGGCCCCGCACCCGCGTGGTGAGCCTGTCGTGCCCGGTTTCGTCTTCGCCGCCGGAGCGATAGAGGAGCCGGAGCGGCACGATGCTCTGGCGCCCCAGGAAGCGGTTTTCGGTCCTCCTCTCCAGCTCAGCCAGCGAGGCGTCTCCTCCAGGCAGGAAAGGGATTAGGAGGGAATGGGAAGAAAATGCGAAAAGGATGACCCTGACTCACCATCATCGGTCCCGCGGTCCGACCCCTCCCTCCATCCCCTCCGAAAATCCCACCTCCCCGTCCCTCCCGGACCCCGTCTGGGAAGGACGCGGACGGACACCCATCGGAGAGCCTTGGACCCGCGCCTCCGAGCGCATCCAGGATAGGGGCCCAGGGGCAGGGTACCCCTCTCCCATCCTTCCTCCGCCCGCCTCTTCTCCCAAAGAAAAAGGCATTGGACCAAAGGCTTCTAAATGCATCCGCGCGCCCCCACACGTAATTTTTGCTCCACTTTCCAAATAGAAAAAAAAAATCTCCCCGCACACTCGGGAGATGGGGATGCCCCTTTGCAGGGCGCCGGAGGGCTGCAGCGATGCCCGGCAGATGGCCCGTCCCTGAGCCGCAGCGGGTGGCGAACTTACCTGCCCGGCCGCAGCGCGCCCAGGGGCAGGTCCCCAGGGCGCAGAGCAGCAAGATGGGCACGGACGCGGCGGCCGCCGCCTGCATGGTGCTGCCGTCAGCGCCCTCGCCGCAGACGCTCAGCTCCGCATGGCCGATCCGCCGGCCCGACCGCCCTCGCCCAGCGCCCCCCGGCTCTCCCGGCCGCCCCCTCCCAGCCCCGGCCGGTGCAGTGGCGGCCGCGGCGCTGCAGCCTCCGCCGCGGTGCTGCCTCAGTGCTGCATTGTGCTCCCCGGGAGCTTCCGCCGGCGGGGGGAGCCTGCGAGTGCTGCTGCATTGGGCGGTTGGCTGTAGCTAAGTGGCTCCTAGCGCCTCCCACCCCATCGCCTGGCACAGGCTCCGGCGGGCGGTGAGCGCTCTGCGGGGAGCGGGCGCCCGGTGCACTCGCCCCGCCGCGCGTGGGCAGGGACGCGCGCATGTCACTGGGAAATGTAGTTCTCGCCCGCGTCCCGCTCCTCCTCGCCACCACCCACCAAGGAGCGGGTGGCTGCGACCTCGTGACCGTGAGGTCTCCTGCAGCATGAAGGCAGGAGGGAGGAAAAGGGCAAGAGCAAGAGAGGTCATCGCTGGCAGGGCTCTTGGCACGGAGGTTATCCAACCGCGCTGCCGTGGAAGCCAGTATCCATCCACATCGTCCACAAAGAACCATATTCATGTTTCCCACAATGTTAACCGTTATCAGGGAATTGTACCTTCAATTATTCATGGCAAGTTAATTACCCAATAAGTATTGAATAAGGACCTACTAGTATATGCCCGGCAGTTGACTAAGCTCAGGGAACACAACGGGGAACAACACTGGTATAGGAAGCACCTGTTCTCAGACACAGTAAACACTGTCTTCCAGGTAACAGGTGAGAAGTATCCAGATGCTGCTGGAGGGGAGTCATTAACTTAGCCAGAGGAGGCAGGGAGGCACTTGAAGGGTATGTTGGATTTAGCCAAAACTCCCCAGGACGTTTTTTGCCCTTTCTCTTAATATCTGTCTGCCTCAAACCTGTATCTGAAAATCAGACTTGGAATACACCACTTTTTCGTCTGCTTATTCCATTTTTTAAAATTTCAAATGTTAATAACTCTTGAAGATGAGACAGTAATAATGGTCCACACAATTACCACGCCTGCCTCAGGCAACATGGTTTCAGGTTCGCCATCATAATTTGAAAATACACTACAGTGTGTCAATGTCCCAGCTAAAGTGTGGTATCCAGAATTAAGTACAACTTAGGCATGGTTTCACAAGCAAACAGTAGAGAGGGACGCCTTTCCCTAGACCTAAATTCTTGCCCACGAGAACATTCTATCATATTTTGGTAGCCACATCTCACTTCCTGTCATTTCAAATAACAAGACACTTAAGAATTCTATACACTCAGTGGCCAGATTCTGACCAGCCAAATTACTATGACCACCCCATCAGTACAATGAAGTGAATTAGTTATGCAAATAATAATAATAAAACCTTGGGAGTATTTGCTTAGGAAGTTTTCAATATTCAGTATTTTGAGAAATGTCAATGAAGTACTGATGGGGTGGTCATAATAATCTGGCCACTCAGGATATGACATGTAATTGTAGACTGAATAAGGGCTACAAGTTTTCAACAGTACACTTTATACCCTGCTGCAGAAGATCCCATAATAGTCACTGTAAAAGAGAATTAGACCTAAGGCCTGGAATAGCCCTTTTGCTTCACCCCCTACATAACGGACCCACGCTGTGAGGTTGTCATATATGGTCTTTATCATATTGAGGCCCATTAGTCTCCTTTGAATCTCTTTAAAGTAGTGCTCTTCTGGCCGTTACCTGGCCAGGTATACATAGTTTTCATTGGCAAGGTTGAAGAGGCAGCCTAAGAAATCCTGATTCTCAGTGAATTGTGGAATTGGTTAAGAGAACACAGTTCCTTTAGGAGCAAGATAGATAACACAACCAAGGGGATTACTGATTATGTGCCATTAAAATAAATCATCCTCTGGGAGCTGAGAGCAGTTGCTCCAATAAGAAGTCGTGATCTCTTGTTTGGTTTTCAGACTTTAGTCAGGTTTTCAACCAGAAATCACTGACTAGAGAAAAGTCCATGTCCCCAGGAGAAGGACCCTGCAATACATGTCAAGTACACCTGGTAATGATTCCCCAAGCCTTCTGCAAAGCGACCTACCTCCATTCACTTCTGTAACTGTGCGCCGGGGAAAGGGAAATGCCCAAATATTTGTTGGATGCAGAGTCTGAAATGACACTGGTACCTGGGACCCAAAGCACCTGTTATAGTGGGGGCATCTGAGAGCTAGGTAATAAATGAAGTCCTGACAAGCGGGGAGTGGGGGAAAGGAAGGAAAGAAAAAGACACCAGGTAGGAACCTCTAAAACTACCTCTATCCCTTAACCAACAATAAATCAAAAACAATACCTTAACCTGGGGTCATGGTGGTGGTAGTGGCAGTGTTTTGTGGTGGAGATGGAGGAATTACTACCCCTGTTAAATATCCAGAAGATGGTTAATTCCCATCATAATTGCATATGGTCATAATGACAGTAGACAACCACAAACTGCACTAAGTAGTAGCCTCAACTGCAGTTGCAATGCCAGATGTGGTCTTTTCTATTAAAAATGAACATAAGGTGGGGGGGAGGGGAGACGACTACGACACATATCCTTGGGTGAGGATTTTTTTTTAATATATTTTATTGATTTTTTTTTTTTTTTTTTTTTGAGAGGGAGAGGGATAGAGAGTTAGAAACATCAATGAGAGAAACATCTATCAGCTACCTCCTGCACACCTCCTACTGGGAATGTGCCTGCAACCAAGGTACATGCCTTTGACTGGAATTAAACCCGGGACCTTTCAGTCCACAGACCGAAGCTCTATCCATTGAGTCAAACCAGTTAGGGCATGGTGAGAATTTTTTTAAAGTTAGAAATGAACAGGGCCTCGGGTATATGATATACAGGCCATTTATTTGGCAGATGCATTTTTCATCCCTGTTAAAAAAAAAAAAAAAAAAAAAAAAGAGAGAGAGAGAGAGAGAGAGAGAGAGAGAGAGAGAGAGAGAGAGAGAGAGAAACCATTTGCACTCATAGGGAAAAGATTATAGTATACATTCTTTCTTTTCCTTTGTTATAATTTGAAGAAGATGCCATGGAGAATATCACTTTAATCCATTATACTGATGACATCATATTCATCAGACCATACATATGAGCAGGAAGCTCCTAACACATTGGAAACTTTTGTAAGACATGTTCTCTAAAGGGTGAGAGATATACTCTAAGATTCAGGTCCTGGCCGGTGTGGGTTAGTTGGCTGGGCATCATCTGTGCAATGAACAGTTGCTGGATCAATTCCGGGTCAGGGCACATGCCAAGATTTTGGGCTCGATCTTCAGTAGGGGGCATGCAGAAGGCAGCTGATCAATGTTTTGTTCTCACATTGATGTTTTTCTCTCTAAAAATCAATTTTTTAAAAATCTTAAAAAAAAAAAAAAAAAAACATTCAGGGACCTGCCCCATCAGTATCAGTTTTAGATTCAGTGGTCAGGAGCATGACAGGAAATCCCACCAAAAGACAAATGATTGCATCCTGAGCTTCCCAAACATGAAGGAAGCATAATTCCTAGCAGGCCTTTTCATATTGTAGCAGCAGTGTTTCAACTGGGGATACTGCTTTGCTGAATGCTGCCAGCCATCTGCAGCCATACCAGGCAGGTTCAAAGGTTCTAGAGGTATCAGAGGTAGGAAAACTGGAGCTTATAGCAATCACAGCTAAGGCTTTGGGGTTTTAGAGTAAAGCCATGGCATCTTTAGTGGCAAATTATGTGGCAGATGGAGCACCTACCTGACTATGGAGCAAAAACCATCATATGCTCACAACGGCCAATCATGAGCTGGGGTTCTGTCAGATCTTCTAATTCATAACATTGGGCAGGTGCAACAAGAAGCCGTTGTAAGGTATACCCAAGCTTGGCCAAGAGCAGGACCGGAAGGTTCAAGGGAATTGCATGATCAGGCAATTCCATGTCATCCATGGCTGTTGTGTCACCAGACCTGTTCAGAGCTGGGAGCTGACCCTGTCCCAACACAATCCAGGAACTTTCTCGTATCAGACCTACAGGAATTATTTCAAGAATGATTTGGAGAACAAAAGCAAGTTTTATTCAAGTAGAGAAAGCATGGGCTCCTATTCACCAAAGCCTACCTAGTGTTTCTGCCATTGCCTCTGTGAAAGAGGCAGAAGTACGCATCCGAGAGGATGTGTGGCCAACTTGCAAGTGAGTTGCGCACATGGTCAGTCAGTTCCAGGTTTTTGAACTTTGTGGCACCAAATTTTGTCTCCACCTTCAGGTCAGGAACAGAGTTCCTAATATGGTCCATTCAGGAAGTGTCGATGGTGTTCACCACCCTCTTGGCCCCCACTTCTACTTGCGATGTCAATTCTCATTATGATGATGGTACAATGAGCTTTGGAGTCAGGTTTTTGGTATTTCCACCATTTTGGAATTTTAGCCAATCATTGACCTTTACAACCAAGGCAGAGGTTTTCCTGGCATTAAGGCAGGGGCTCTAGTGAGAGGACCTAGCATCTGCCTGTGACATCAGATTCTGCTTCATTTCAGTTGGGATTTTTCCCTAGGTTTTTCTCTCTTAGGTCACACCTCCAGGTATAAGAGCCATGAAGAGTAAAAACCCAGACTTGGTTCATGAATTAGTTGCTTCTGTGGGTGCAAGCTGAAAACAGGTGACAACTGCCTCCTAGCTGCACCCAGGGGTGGTTTTGGTAACCAGTCACAAGGGGAAATCTTCCCAATGGCAGAGCTTCAAGTGGAGTACCTAGTCATCCCTTCTGTGAGCAAAGAGAAGTGGCCTAGGTTTAGAGTATTTGTGGACACATGGGCACGGAGACATTACTTGACTGGCTGTTAAGGCATTTGGGAAGAGAACAATTGAAAGGTTGAATACAAGGGGTAGAGGCACATGGCATATGGGAATAAAGCCATGACATCTTTAGTGGATAATTATGTACTTAAATATATATATATTTGAAGTGTATCTTCATATCACATGAAATGTATCTTCATATCACACATTATCACCACCCAAAAGTTGGCACAATGGGCACATGAGCAAAAGGATGATATTGGCAGGGATGAAAATTATGTATGAGCTCAACAGCATGGGCTCCTATTCACTAAAGCTGATCTAGTGTTTCTACTATTGCCAATTGTCCAACCTGCCAAAAAGAAAGACCAACACTGAGTTCTTGATATGGCACCATCCTTTACTATACCTAGAAAACCAACCAGGCAAGTTGATTATACTAGGTATAGTAACAGGCGTATTCCAGATATAAGTTTGTCTTTCTCCCTCACATCACTTTTTGAGGATTTAGATAGATGGTTTGATTCATTGGCATGGCATCATACATAATTTCGTTTAACTAGGGGATTGAAATCACAAAAAAGGTTGGGAATGGGTTCATGTTCAGGTGACTCTTATGACATACTCAGTAACCTAGAAGCTGCCTTGAAGGTGATATTTTTGAGCATGGAATATAATCTAGAATGTTTAAAACATTTATATGGTGCTATGTCTCTGCTAAGAAAATACATTAAGTCTGGGAACCAGTAGATAGAAGCAGGAGTGGCCCTATTGGTCATTAGTCTTGTGACCTTCTAGAAATTTCTGCTTCCCATCTGAGCAACTCCTGATTTACAGCCATGTCATCATGGGACTCTATTTTTTGTTTTTAATAATTTTAATTGATTTCAGAGAGGAAGGGAGAAACATTAATGATGAGAGAATACTTGATTGGCTGCCTCCTACACATCCCCTACTGGGGATCAAGCCACAACCTGGGCATGTTCCCTGACAGGGAATCAAACTGTGACCTCCTTGTTCATAGGGAGACATTCTACCACTGAGCCATTCCAACTAGGCAATAATGCTAAATTTTTATAATATCAATATTTCACTTGACACGTTTTTAACTTCATAAAGCACTTACCATATTCTTATGTAACTATTATGAATATAATATATAAAAATGAGTCGCAAATTTACAATTTTCTATAATAGGTATTCAATTCTGTAGAAAAATGTAAATATCACTTTTATTGTTAACATTTACATTTGGTTCTGTAAACAAAGTTGGGGGAAAAAAAACACAAAAAAAACTAAGAATTTTTATACATATTTATAAAATTTCAGTATGATCTTTATCCTTTTACAATTTATATATTTTTTTAATCTAAAAGCCAGTAAATGTAGAATTTGAAGGGAAAGAGGAAAACATTGATGACAGATTTGAATCATCCTCCCTCCAAATATCGAAACCATTACAGATTCCACCATTTTCGGTGTAGTTTGTGAAACCCAAAAATTCTGATGTCTCTTCACTAGTCTGAAATAAGTCTAGTAGAGATTGTGAACTACAAATTCTGTTTTCCTCTTGTGTAGTAAGACATTCAGTTCTTTTCTCATCTAAATCCACATTTGGTTCCAGATTTTCTTTTTTATTTCTTCGTAATAATATTTTCACTTTCCGACAGATTTTACCAGAAGGTAAGTTATCCATATTCTTGATGTCACATTCATTGGGTTCCCCGAGACAACTTTGGGATGAAGTGTTTGCCTGAATAGTTTGGTGCTCCTGTGAACTGTTCATTGCTGACAGACTATAATCATGACATATTAAATGAAGGTCCTTTTCCTTCAGATCCTTTGTTGGAAAAAGCACAGCATCTGATTTTTGTTTTGGTTGAGATGAACTATTATCTATATTGAAATTAGAAACTTGTATAGATGTCTGCAGCCTACACAGACAATGATCTGTTCTTACTTCTTCCAAGTTGTTTTCATTTATAATTAATTTACATTTAGAAATATCAAGAATGCATCCCTGTCTGTTTTTACCTGGAGATAGATGTGTAAAATTTTGTCTTATGTCATTTTCAGCTGGATTTAACGTGGAACATTGATTTGTTTTCTCATCAAGTCCTCTCAGTTCATTTGAAGGGTTAGGGATGTGCTCTGAAATAAACACAAGCTTCTCTTCAGGTTGCTGGGTTTCTTTATATAGACAACTCCGCTTGATTACCTGTACATTATTTTCCATGAAGTTTCTCTGAAAAATTGGTTGCAATTCTAGCTTTTCTTTTGGTTCAGACTTTTTCAGGATATTTGTAGTAATAGGAGAAAGGGACCCAACGCTGTATTTTAATCTTTTTAGGAAAAAAAAAAAAAAAGGGAAAAAAATTGCAAAAAAGCATGTCTTAATAAACATTAAATTAGTAAAAATCTTTTAAAACTATTTATGAAACTTATTTAACTTAGGTAATATTACCAATACACAGAAATCTTAGCATTCAGACAAATTTAGATGTTTTTAAAGTAATAAAACTACAGATACAGCTGAAAACTCTAAAGTACCCCTCTTCCAAACCATTATTCCCTTCCAGCATCTTGAATTTGGTGTTTAAAACTCTTTCAACTATGTAAAGCAAACAAAGATGATAGTAGAGAGATTTGGGGTCACTTTCATTATCCTGAAAAATTTCATAACTTCTATGTTGGATGTACATTTTCAATTTAGTTAGCAATGTGGAATGAGCAATTATTGGGAAACCTAAGGCAGAAACACACACAGTAGGTCCTTGGGTTACATGGGAGATCCATTCCGATGGCGCAACGTAATGCGATTTTCGAAGTAAGTCAGAACCCATCTACACAAGCACCTACGTCACTCACATGGAGCACATACACAACAGTAATGAAGTAAAACAGTAAAAAAAAATTAAAAGGTAACAATTCCTGACCTTTAGTTGTAATAAATAATAAAAAAATAAAGCGCATGTATACATATGTTGAAATAATGGAATTTTTTTTTTATAAATGGGAGATGGCGACATAACCATGAAACGACTTATGTCAAATCTGACGTAACCCGGGGACTGTCTGTATCTATCCTTCTATATATATAAAAGCCTAAGCAACTGGTCGACCACAAAGCGGCAGATGCTCAACACAGGATCTGCCTCCTGGTGTCAGTGTGCTCCAAAGTCAACCTCCTGTGGCCAGCCAACCCCCCACAGTACCTGCCCCTGGCCAGTCGGCCCCAATTGGATCGCTGGCCAGGCTAAATGAAAAGCTTCTTAAAACTTCCTAATAGTAACTACAAATTCTAGCATTTTTATTTCAAGTGGATGGTAAACTTCATGATTTACCAGGGGTTGACAAACTAGTACAATGGCTAAATCTAGCCTGCCATCTATTTTCCTAAAAAAAAGTTTCATTGGAACATAGCCACACCCATTCATTTACATAATGTCCATGGCTGCTTTCATTGTATAATGACAAAGCTGAATCTTAAGGTTCACAAAGCCTAAAATATTTACTATTTTTTAAAAAAAACCCTCCTCTAGACTATAATGTTAAAACAAGGACCTTAAAAGTAATTTAAAATAAACACTTTTGGTAGTAAAGAGGAGAGAAGACAGAAGTAATCAATCCTTAACTGTATTTACATTCTCAAAATATATATTTCAAGTGGATGGTAAACTTCATCTAAGAATAGGAAACTTTGGATTTATTTTTAGTTTAATAAAATAGTTTAAAATTTAAAACATAAGTGAATAAATTACCTTTTCTTTTTAGGCATGTCCCTTTCATATTCCACAAATTCAAAAATTAACTTAGATACGATGTTATCAACAACTTGATAGCGATTACTCTGTGCAAAGTTTCTGTGTTGCTCAGTTAGGAGATGCTAAAACAAAACAAAAGAGCATATATATTATATTTTTAAATCAACAGATACCTTTTTCTGTTCAGGTTTGCTAACATATACATGTCCCTAAAATTAGGTTTGAAATAACTACTCCAAATACCTTTTACTAGAACTTCAAAGGATGATAGAAGTAAAAGTAATTTTTGAGAAACCACCAAAACTACAGTTGACCCCTGAAAACACAGGTTAAGGGTTACCAAATCCCTCGCAGTAAAAAATCCATGTATAACTATACCAGTTGTCTCTCTGCATCTCCCTCACTCCAGATACCAAAATCTGAGATGCTCAAGTTTCCTATGTAAATCAATGCATACAGTCAGTCCTCAGTATCCACCAACTCCCAATTTCGGATCAAAAACAAGTACAGGTATTTCTTTAAAAAAATAATAATAATCCATATTTCAGTGGGCCAATACAGTTCAAACCCGTTTGTTCAAGGGTCAACCTTACTTTGCTTTTCAGTCTTGCATTTTTCAATGAAAAAAGTCAAATATTAATTTGTGGTTTCAATATAACTGAAAACAAATGAACTATCTCAGAAATCTGAAGATAAAGATGGAGAAAAAAATAACATTTACAGTGCTCTGATATTTTTGAGAACACTTTCCCCTTTACTACTTTATTTTAGCCTTATACAATTACCACTAAATAAAGTAGGACTTATAAAATATCCAGTGAAAAAAATGTTATAATTAATATACAAGAATCCAAAACAAGAAGCTATAAGGTAGATTAAGCACATAAGTAAAGTACAATGAATGCTATGAGGTATAAAAATAATTTATAAATAAGGAACACATTTGAGAATAAGCAAATGATTTTATTTTTCAGGGCTTATAATGGAGAATAGAGAGAAGTTATTATTAATTTTAAAAGTGGTCAAGAACAAACATAAATAAGTTCAGTGTATTGGAATAAAACTCACAGGAAACAAAATTCCTTTTGCATAGGTGGAATCAACAGGTTAATTCTATTATTTGTTTGTTAGCTAATCAGGGAGTTATATCCAAAAGCCTACACCAAGATGATCATAGAAGAACCTCTATCTGCTTCCCTAGTTTCAAAAAACTTTAATTTTTGGTGATTTAATTCTATTTCCAAAAACTAAATCGTCCAGCTTTCACAAAAAACAAAAAGCCCACAACACAGTACAGTTGCCCCTGGAATAACTTAGGGGCTAGGAGGTGCCAAACCTGGCACAGTCAAATAGCGGAGTATACCTTTGACTCCCTATAATACTAACAGCATATTGTTGACCAAAAAGTCTTAGCAATATAAACACAATTAACACATCTATCATCTCCGTGTTTCTATCATCTCCGTGTCTGTTAGATCCTATATCAATAGTCTGATATGATACACAATACAGTAGATGTTATATATTTTACTAACAATAGATATCATAGATGAAAAGATAATGTAAAAAAACATCCCTACTTATATTGCATTGATAATGAAGTAGCAATATGATTACTTCCAATAGTTAAGAAAATCTCCCAAATTTTTCAATATTATTTATTGAAAAAAATCTGCAAATAAGTGGATGTGCACAATTCAAAGGCCAACTGTATTCTGGTATATGTTCCTTCCTTTTGAAATGTACCAAATAAAAACTATGTATGTCCAGTAATGTTAAATGAATAAAAAATGAATTAAAACTTAAAAAGTAACATTAATTCTCTTCTAAGTTCTGATTCAGTTTATTCATGTTCTTGGAAGGAAAAATAATTAATTGAAAATAAGAAAAACAACTGTTATGTAGTTCCCCTCTATTTCCACCTAGCTCGTCTTACTTATCCTGTAAGTATTGATATGAAAAATACCCTTATTATTACCACTATCCTTCATACTTCATTATTTTGATTCATCCCACTTGCAGATGTAAGTTTTTATATCTTCTCTGCCAAACCATACGATGTATAATAGAGTATATGTCTACTTATTATTGCTAAATCTCCAGTAATCAATTTTTTTCAATGAATGCCTTGATGCAGACTAAAAGCATATACATGAAAAACTTTAAAAATATTTTTTTAAAAAATCAAAATCCCAACATCCACTTTCAGTAATTATCCTTTGTCATGGCCATGTGACCAAGGTTTTTGTTTTCTGGCCTCAATAGTTTCTGAGTATCAAATTAGGATAGCAAACTGATATTAAGGAAAGCATCCATTCCAGATTATTCTGTTGTAATAACATCAAAATAAAATTTAAGGACCAAGCTATAATTTAAATTTTCAAAATGATTTAGCTTCTCATTAAAACTAATTTAAAATTAATTGTATTTTTCTCCTTTACTATATAAGTAAAACACAAAGCACAAATACATTTTGGGTTACAAAACAATCATACTTCAACTAAGAGTCAGTAGAGAGCCTAGATGGGTGGCTCAGTGGTTGAGCGTCAACCTATGAACCAGGAGGTCATGATTTAATTCCTAGTCAGGGCACATGCCTGTTTGCAGGCACAATTCCCAGTAAGGGCTGTGCAGGAGGCAGCCAACCTATGATTCCCTCTCTTCATTGATGCTTCTCTCTCTTCCTCTCTGAAATCAATAAAAATACATATTTTCAAAAAGAGTCAGTAGTGGCAGTTTATGGATCAGTTATTGGATCAGTTTATGGATCAATTATTTTTAAATATTATTCTCTTTAACTTTTCTATCATTTTCTAACAAAACCAAACACCAAAATAAATCTATTTCCTGTTTTTAAAATTAGCAATTCAAATTATAACAGCTAACATTTAGTAAGCACAGTGCCAGGCACTTTCTAAGTTCACACAAATAGGAAGCCAATTTTCAAACCTGGGAAGTCTAGATACAAAGCTTTTGCGCTTTTTTTATTTTTTTAAATCAGTTTACAAGTTGTAATAGTTCCCATTTTTAACTTTCTCTTCATCCCACATATCCTTCCAACTATTCCATTTCTCTATCTGCTACTTCAAAGAACTGTCTTCATTTTCTTCTCATCCTCCCATCAGTAAATCCCATGCCCATTTTTTAATTGTTTAAGCCTGCAATATTAGTCATCTATGACTCATCCTCTCTCACTCCCAACACCCCATCCACTGACAAATCCCCTTCTGAATTACATCCACAATCTGAGGACGTCTCCTGACTTCTACTTAGTCTAGGTTTCCATCATCTGTTCTCTGGTCTCAACAGTCAGTTTACTTTTGTGCTTCTGCACTGTTTATTTCAATATCTACACGTCTTACTGTTCCCTCACTTCTCTTAGGCCTCTACTGAAATATTACCTTATCAGTTAGGTATTCTTTATCTAGTCTATTTAAATAGCAAAGTCACCATTCCTGCTTTATATTTTCCCATAGTACTGACCTAAATGTTCTCTATATATCTTTATTATTCTTTTATCCTATAGTTATCTGACTCTCCTCCAGCCCCCCAACTCCGCATAGAATGTAATATTTATAAGGGCACAGAATTGGCCTTTGTTCAATACTACTTGCTCAGAGCAGTGATTCTTACATAGCAGATGCACAATAAATATTGGTTGAATAAATGAATAAAAATGATTTTTCAATATATTTTCTTACTCTGGGTTCTTAAAATTTCAGGTAATTCTATCAAACAGAATATATACTACTTAACAATTTAACGTTATATCCACAATCAGATATCTATTCATAGTTTTAAAAATATCAAACCCTAAACATAAAATCATGCTTACAGTTTCAAGATCCTCATATTTTTGCAAGCAACATTCACAATATCCTTTTTTTTTCTTCTCTTTCAATTGGAGTTGAGTTGGGATTTCATCACATTTATCACCATCCATTTCGATTCTGGTAGAAATATATGACAAAAGGATTAACTGCTGAACATAAAGAAGAATACAAGTCTATAATCCCTGCCTATCAAACAGAATCTGCCATATCTGCATAGAGATTTGTACCAACAAATCGTTTTAACCATTTTTCTTTTTAAACAATTGAGAAGCAAATTAAGAACGTTATGATGATTCTGGGGCATATTTCAGATCAACAACACATTTTAATTATGTGCAATTTTCAATCCCTTTCCCTCCCCCTGCCAGACCCCCCTTTTCCCCCTAACCCACCTACCTAAAGTTTCTAAATGTGACACACTTAAAAGAGATTCAGACTTCAAATCTAGCCAAGGGGCAATAAAAATATATAGGGGGAACCGCGCTTGCTAGCTCTCGCGCGCGCGCGCTCTCTCTCTCTCTCTCTCTCTCTCTCTCTCTCTCTTCCCTCGCGCGCGCGCGCGCACGCACACACACACACACACACACACACACCATAAATGTATTATTTTCATAAAAAGTTACTTAAAGGTTAAACCAACCTTAGTTTACCCTGAGTTTGCTTTTGGATGTTGGATGGCTTATCTATATCAAATGGACTGGAAGGCTTCTGAATAGAGTAATTTATATAAGGCATATTGGTCAGTTGAAGATAAAATGGTCTATAAAGTCTAAAAGAATAAGAAGAAAAACACATGAACATTTTTATGGCTAAAGAAAACACATTTGATGTTTTATATTTTAAAATCATAATTCTTCTGGAATCTGAAACACAAATCAGTTAAGACTTCCCTTCCCAAATTTAGACCAATTTTTTTTAACACATCAAAAATAACTTATTGTGGTAAAATACATATAACAAAATTTACTACCCTACCCATTTTTTAAGTTTATAGTTCAGTCGTAAGTACATTCACAATGTTTTTTAACATAAGCACCATCTATCTCCAGACCCTTTGAATCTTGCAAAACTGATTCTATACCCATGAAACAGTAACTCCCCATTCTTTTCCCCACCAGCCCCTGACAACTATTATACTATTCTACTTCCTGTCTATATGAATTTAATGACTCTAGGTACCTCAGATGGAATCATGCAGTTTTTTTTCTTTCTTATTTCACTTTACATATTGTCCTCACAGCTCTTCCATGTTGTAGCATGTGTCAGAGTTTCATTCCTTTTTAAGGCTGAATAATATTCCATTGTCTATATATACATTATCCATTCATCTTGGCTATAGTGAATAATGTTATGAACATATATGTATGTGCATATATCTCTTCTAAGATCTTGATTTCTATTATTTTGGATATATACCCAGAAGTGAAATGGCTGGATATGGTATTTCTAATTTTTTGAAGAACTTCCATATTGGTTTTTCCATAGCGGATGCAAAATTTTCCAATCCTGCTAACAATGCTCAACACTTATCTTCTGTTTTGTTTGTTTATAATGGCTATTTAAAAAATATGAGGTATTTGTAATGATTTGCATTTCTCTGATGAACAGCAATGTTGAACATATTTTCATATGCCTACTAGTAACTTGTATATCTTTGGGAAAATGTCAAGTCCTTTGTCCATTTTTAGTCAGGTCATTTGATTATCTGTTGTTGATTTTTTTATTTTAATCCTCACCTGAGGATATTTTTCCATTGGAGGCATATGTCTTTGAGCAGAACTGAACCTGAGACCCTTCAGTTCTCAGGCCTACACTCAATCCATTGAGCCAAACCACCTACTGCTTGACTTCTTTATACCAATGCCTTATTAAACACATGATTTGCAAATATTTTCTCCCAGTCCACAGCTTCCTGTTTTCACTCTGTTGTGGCCTTTGGTGCACACAAATTTATAATTTTGATGTAGTCCAATTTTATTTTTTTAAATCTTTTATTGCTTGTGTTTTTGGTGTCATATCCAAGAAATCACTGCCAAATCCAATGTCATAAAGCTTTTCCCCAGCATTTTCTTTCCAAGAGTTTATAGTTTTAGGTTTTTAAGCCATTTTGAGTTTTGAAAACAAACAAACAAATGTCCTTTCCCCAATGAATGATCTTGACATCCTGTGAAGATTTCTAGGCTCTTTATTCTATCCCACTGGTCAATATATCTGCCTTTTTGTCAGCACCAAACTATTTTGATAACTCTAGTATTGTACTGTTTTGAAATCCAACTTTGTTCTTTCCAAGACTGCTTTGGGTGTTCAGGGTCCTGTGAGATTCCATATGAATTTTAGGATGGAGTTTTCCCTTTCTGTAAAAAACGTCATTGGGATTCTGACAGGGAATGCACTGGATCTGTAGATCACTTTGGGTATTACTGACATCTTAACAATATGAAGTCTTCAGATCCATGAATATAGAATATCATTTATTGATGTCTTCTCTAGACCTAATTTTGAATTGCAGCCCCGCCACCCATAATACATTTCATAGAGACGCATTCAACACACATTAATCACCTGAGTACCCAAGAGAATTAATTATACATCTACAGGAGTAATTAACCACACATGTCTGAGTAATTGGAAAGTCAAGAAATATGATTCCCTAATGCCAACTAATTCATTTGTACCTTAATTTTCATAAATATTATCCTTTAATATATCAGAGTGAGTTTAGAAAAACTACCACATAAAATGTAAAGACTCAGTTATGGCCACATAAGCTTAGTTGGTTAGAGCATTGTCCTGATACACCAAGGTTGTGGGTCTGAACCTCAGTCAGAGCACAAATAAGAAATCAACCAATGAATGCATAAGTAGAACAACAAATATGTTTCTCTCACACGCTCTCTCTCTCTAAAATAAAAAAGTTAGACTCAGATTTGTATTTCCAAATAGCAACTAGTAATTTCTTTTTCACAAATGTAGAAGTAATTATTAAGTAGTTGTTACAAATCATATGGTACTGAATTTACCCAGATAATGGTTATTTGAAATATTAAAGAAATGAGTTGGTCTCATGATTGTTATAAATTAGATATTTCAAGGAATTATTATCTATAACATACTGAAACTAAATTCAGCTCTAAAGCACAAATTAATTAATGCTACTTTCTGTTATTTCTGCCACATGTACATTAGTTATAATATAAATCAAACATAACAGTACTGATAGAGGTACATTGATTAGATTTTCTGTTTTGTTATTATATTTAAATGATAGAGATTGAACTTAGATACTTACTGACTCATATCTTCCACCTTTAGAAAAGGCTTTTTGAGTCTACCTGCTTGAAAATATATTAAAACATGGCATTAGATATTACAAACCCAGGATTTAAAACAAACAAACAAACAAACAAAAAAAAAAACACTACTCTGGCTAAAACAAAACAAAACACACACAAAAAAATCACCAACTATGTACCCATTATCCATTTCATTTCAATTAGTTTTTTAAGTCTCAGGTGAATTATTTTACAATGTCAATCCATTTTATAACAACAGATTCTGCCTATATTCTGAGATCTTGAAACTAAATGGACACCTCCTACCTCCAATAGACCTATGAGTAGAATTCAGGAGGCTCAAGAGGTTCAACAGGTAAAAAAAAAATTGAACTTTTATTTTTACTAACTTCTAACTAAAATTTGACATCTCCTCAAATTATGCATATAAGTATTACCAGTGCCAATAATTTTGATACAATTAAAACGGGTATTTTTCTATCCTATTAATTACTACAGATATCTCAAACCATCATTTATGTTCATCATTTTAAAATTACAGTAGTCAGAATCAGTTCTAGAGCTTGACTTTAATGTGTAATTAAAGCATGTATATTATTATTTCATTAAAAATTTTGTTAACTCAATTCCAATATTATTTCCATAGTAAACTAATAATTAAAAAATATTTTTTAAGCAGATTGCTACAGGGGTACAGGTTCTTAAAAAGGCTAGGAACTACATATGAAGTTATTTACATGACTTTTGACCCTCACCCCCCCAACTTTGCAGGGGCCTGAACCCTCACCCTTTCTGAGGGAAGTCTACTGCCCCCATGGCTGCTTCGCTTCCCATGCCCAGCTAAAATCAGGACCCAGGTAACAGACAAAGAATTGGCCAACAGCAGCTGCCCTCTGATTGCAACAAGACTTGAGTTGTCTTGCACCCATGGTGTGGGGAAGTGGGTTTTTGATATCTAAATCCAGCCTAGCACCAAGAACTTCCAGGGACTACTCAAGAAGGCAAATAATCCTTTCCACTAATATACACAGGGTAAAATATTATTGTTAGAGTATTAAATTTGACAGTAAAATAGTAGTCAAGTTTTCAGACTAATTTAAATTGGCTAATTAAAATAAGCGAATATTCTAGAAAAATTAATTGTACTGGACAAAAAGTTGTTCCTAAAGTGTTAACTAAAATTTTTATTGGTAGTTCATCTCATGATAAAATTGCATAACACGTAATGAACTTAAAGCAGTCATATTTTAGAGCAAAAAATTAAAATTGAAAGCTATCAAGACTACATTATAAAATTTCCAAAAGTCTCCTAATATTTAAATCAAAAAAGGGAGAATAGTAGAAGAATATCATGTAAGGAAAAATATTCTGTAAGTAAATTACATGTAGAAAATTTTTATTTTAGAAAATTAACTTTCATTTGTAATGCTAACAGGAAGATACCCATGAAAAACACACATGGTGTCAAAACAAGCCAAAGGGAAATCATTTGGGCAAAAAGTGAAAAAGGATGTTAAGTCAAATTTATAGAAAAGATTCTTTTATTAACTTTTGGTGGAGAATATATTTGCATATTTTCAGAAAATAAATCTAAGACCATGTGGATTCCTGCAACAGAGAAGAATGACAGAACTCTTCCAGCCACGAAGTCAGAAGAGAAACAGTCCAGAGATGGAAGATGCTGACGATCCCTTGCCATTCTAGCAGTCAGCAGCTGTGTGTTGGTGCAGGTTGCCCAGGACCAAACCAGAATGGGTTGGATCTGCATTAACACCATTTGTCCACCATCTAGAACTGACATATCACTGTTGACATGTACACATAAGGAAATGTTTAACACTGAAATTAGGACTCAAAAGAACTGATGGCTCAGAAAGAAATTCACTACAGAATGATTCATTTGCCTTTCAGTATAACAATTATTGCTTGTCTCATTTTCGATTCTTATAAGTGTATTTCTAGTATCACATGATCTCACTCATCTATGGGAAATAATGAACAACATAAACTGATGAACAAAAACAGATCTGGAGACAGGAAAGTATCAATCAGACTGTCAAACCTCAGAGGGAAGGTAGGGGAGGTTGGGGGTAAAAGGGAGAGATCAACCAAAGGACTTGTGTGCATGCATATAAGCCTAACCAGGGGTCACGGACAACAGGGGTGTGGAGGCATACATGGGGAGGGGTTTGGGATGGAAATGGGGGGATGAGGACAAATATGTGATACCTTAATCAATAAAGAAATTTTTAAAAAAGAAAATTATGTTCTGTTTTATAAAGCAAACCAAACACATTTAAGTATATAAAAATACTTACTTTTTGTTTTCTGTGTGCCAGCCCCTACTCTTTTCCCCTAAAAATAAATTTGATAGTGAAAATACTGGATTTGAAAGTTAGTGAAAATCACAATTATCCTTAAATTATTTTTTAAATTCATATAGGCAAATAATAATTTTTTTTCAATATATATTTTATTGATTTTTTTACAGAAAGGAAGGGAGAGAGATAGAGAGCTAGAAACGTCGATGAGAGAGAAACATTGTCCAGTTGCCTCCTGCACGCCCCCTACCGGGGATGTGCCTGCAACCAACGTACATGGCCCTGACGGGAATCGAACCTGGGACCCTTCAGTCTGCAGACCGACGCTCTACCACTGAGCCAAAACTGTTTCGCCAAGAATAATATTTTTTTAAAATCATTATAGTCTATCAATTCCAGTCAAACTGGAATACATCCAATGTGGTCAACCAATCCCATTGATTATAACTGAAAACTGAACAAAATACAATAAGCAACTACCTGAAGATTGGAAAGTAAACAAAAGCAAGAATATTGTTGAAGGAAATAAAAACTTAAAGAGAAGCTACGTTTAAGGGATAAGTTTTCCATCTTCCCATCTTTCTCTTGCAATTTTGCCTTAAAGATGAACCAACCTATAGTCACGGAGTTGATGGGAATAGTGAGCCAGTTATCTCTTCTATGCAAATCCCACCCTTCTATCCAGAAAGAACCTAGAAAGAGGCTCCAGCAATCCAAAGATTATAAAGAGAATCACTGTATATGTCTCCTTTGATTTCTCCAACCTTTTTGCCCTTTGGAGGGGGAAGGAGGGCAACTATAAAATGGCAATTGTAGAAGTACCACAAGCAAATGAAATTGAGAATCCTTGACTTTCCGACCAGAGAAACTATGAAAAGGGTCACTGCATACTGGAGAGTGAAGGGGAAACCACAGACAATAGCAAACTGGAGAAGGGGATCCCAAATTCCCTACATAAGTCCACATAAAAACCATGCTTAACTTTAAACAGCATATTCTAAGGTCAGATACAAAACAAGAGGTTTGAAAATTAGAACTATAAGATTCAAACCACACTGCCCAAGTCGTGGGCTAATCTATAAGTGATGCATATGCAAAACAAACAGAGAGCTCCATATAAGTCTTTGTATATATCATGCATATATGAGGTATTCATAATATAAAATATTTAATGAAAACTGTGTTCAAAGAGTTCAAAGGCCAGTATCCAATTGCTAGTCTTGTCAGCAAATATTCTTTACTGGCAATCAGATCTTTCCAAAATGCCTATCCAATCAATTCCGTTAATAATCTTGCAATAAATTTCCAAACCCTCCAAGAAAAAAAATCTAACTGCTTTATATAATGTAGAAACTCCTTTATACTTTTATGTGAACCTGCTAATGTTTCCAGCTTCATTACTTGTCATTCTCTTGCTCTAAGGATAAATATGTATTATAATAAAATTTGCAAATACAAGCCATCCTACTTAGGACTTCATGTCTTTGTATACACTCTTCTATAAAATTTATTTTCCTTTTAGATCCTAGTAATATAAGGATTGAGTGAAGAAGAAGCAGACTACAAAAGAACTGTCTGACAGATAGACCATATAACAGAACTATGACTACAGTATGCAAGTTTACCTGAGGATATTATGGCAATAATATATTCTACTTGGCAAAAAAAATCCAGATATATAAACAAAAACGAAACTTTATCACTTTCTTTAATTAACCTAAAAAGGAATGAAAATAACATACCAAATCTCTTATAGAAGTGCTTGATTTCTTGAGTAAACACAATTCCTTTTTCTTTTGTTCAATGTAGTATCTTATGTCTTTATTAAAAGAAAGAAGGGTTTAAGATTAGCATTTTACCTTTGGAGTTAACACGTATTTCTTCAATCAGAATTTTCACTATTTAAAGTTTGGAACCAAAGGAAAGAAATATAAAAGAAATAAAAGAAGGATAAAATCCTTACCATCAATATGAAGAATTTTTACTCCCCACGATAAGGCATTTGATAATATACTATTTGAAGGGATGAAATCCTGTAAAAAAAACAAAAAACAGTTTGATAGTTTTTCTAAGAAATTACTCTTTTAAATAAGCTGAATTTAAAAATTATTTGAAACAATGTCACTTGAGCAGACTACAACAGCAATAATACCAGTTTTTTCTTCTGAAATTTATAAAATCAATCTGTCTTAATATATTCCCATATTCTTGACAATACACAATATAGCTTTACAGTTATTATTAGTCCCAAGAAATTATTCCATTTAAAAATAAAAAATAAAATGCTACAAGCTTCAGAAATCTACGGTAATTTAGTAATACTTAAATAGACCACCAGATGGAGATGTTTCTTCATGAAAAGTAGACTCTATTCTTTGTAAAAAAAAAGATACAAGCTGATATTTAAGTTTTTCCTATGAAAACAAGGAAAGATTTCAAGAACATCTATTTCTTCTTTCTGCTTGAGTTTCTAATAACAGAATATACACTGTGACTTTTTAAAGTTACTGCTTATACTTACGTGATCCTTGATAGCTTTTTCAGCTAATAATTTTCCTCTGCTCAAACACACCTATAAAAAAGACCAGAGAACAATCAAACATAAAAAAATCACCTTTCTGTCAGATAGCAGCCCTATTAATGACTGGAAAGCTACACATAATGTAGACATTGTTCTACATAAGCAAACTCTGATGCCAGCATGCTCTTAAAAACCATGGGATCCTCAGGCTATAGCCTTTCTGAGCATCTCAAAGCACATTTAAGAGACTTACTGAATCTGGAGACTTAAATGAACTTCCATCATGGCTGGGATGAGGTGAAGTGGTTTCTGCAGTATATGCAGATTCTGGACTTGGTACAGGAGAGATTTGTCCGAAGGTTTGTGCAAATTTAGCTTCCTTTTTATTTGAAATAAGATAACTAATATCTTTGCTGAGAAATTCTTCAACTCGCTAAAAGGAAAACAAAGTATTTGTAAGTGAAGTCATATAAATCAGTCTGCTTTATATGCTAAGCCATAAGATTGTAAAATGGTTTGTTTAAAGAGAATTTCCCTACTAAATTGTTTGAAAACCATTACTTAAATGTCTGAATTTAAAAACACATCTACTAAGGTCAGTATTATTGACAATCATTCTCATCCAAAGGCAGGAGAATTGAAATAAGTGAAAACAAATACCAGAGACTTCTAAAATATTTTAAAAGCTATACCTAAATTCTACAGGATCTTACACTATAGAGAATTTTAAAAAATGAAACAAAGTATGTAATAGATGAGTTAATTTCATGTAAGCATTAAACAGAATGTATGACTCTTGGTTAAATGCAAATCATTACTTCCTTTTTTCCCTGAGCAATTTTCATTAACCAGTATATAAAGTAAATATTCACATTTATCAATTCCAGGGGTTATAAACTCAAATACCTACAAGGTCCAGCAGAAATATAAAAGAATATTTTCATTTTCATTAACACGTGGCCCTCACAACTGCCAGTTTCCAATTTTTCAAGAGAAGCCCAATCTCCTACATGCTTCTAAAAATTGTGATAAAAATAGGACATAAAAATTTAACCATTTTCAGGTGTATGATACAGTAGCATTAAGTACATTCATATTATACAATCACCATTACCCACTTGCAGAACTTTTTCATCATTCCCCGATACTGTATACATTAAACCAAACTTTCCATTCTCTTTAGCTCTTTTTAATCAGTATTCTACTTTGTTTCTATGGATTTGACTACTCTATATACCTCATATAAGTGAAATACTGTATTTGTCCTTTTGTCTAGCTTATTTCGCTTAGCACAATGTTTCCAACGTTCATCCATATTGTAGCATGGGTAGGAATTTCATTCCTTTTCAATGATATTCCATTGTGTGTGAACACCACTTATTGTTTTCTATCCATCTGTTGACATTTGGGTTGTTCCCACCTTTAGGCTATTACAAATAATGCCACCATGATCAGGGTCTTCAAGACCCATCTTTCAATCCTTTTAGATATATTCACAGAAGTAGAATTGCTTGATTATATAGCAATTTTATTTTTAACTGAGGAACCCTATTGCTATTTAGCAGAGCAGCTGCATTATTTACAATCCCATCAACAGTGCAGTTTCTCCACATCCTTATTCACACTTATTTTTGTATAGTGACCATCCTAATGGATGTGAGATGGTATCACAAGTAGTTTTGATTTGTATTTTCCTAATGATTAGTGATGTCGAGCATCTTTTCATGTGTTTATTCACTATTTGAAGATCTTTGGAGAAGAGTCAACTATCCAAATTCTTTGCTCATTTTAAAATCAGGTTGTTGATTTATAATTCTTTATACATTCTGGATACTAATCTCTTATTAGATACTAGCGGCCCGTTGCAGGAAGATTCCTGCAAGAATAGGGCTTCCTTGGGCCTATTCCTGCAAGAACAGGGCTTCCTGCAGCCTAAGCAAAGCAGAGAAGGGAGCAAAGCCTATCAACATGGCCTTGCTTCCAACTGCCGCTGCCCCGCTTTCTGCTTTACCTCCCTCTTCCTTGTACACTGTTTTCAGTCTTCGCTCTGTGCCTATGTATGCAAATTAATCACCATCTTTGTTGGGTTAACTTGCAAACACGCTCTGATTGGCTGGTGGGCATAGCAGAGTAATGGTTAATTTGCATGTTTCTCCTTTATTAGTGTAGATGTGATTTGCAATTTTTTCTTTTTGAATTTTAAATAAATCTTTATTGTTCATATTATTACAAATGTTCATTTTTTTTCCTCCATTGCTCTCCACCACCAGGTTGCCACCTCTCCCTCTGAGCTTTCCACACCCCCCATTGACCTCATCTATAGATGCACAGTTTATGTTCAGTCTCTTCCCACACCCCCCACTCTCCTTTTCCCCAAGAATCATCAGTTCACTCCCCTTCCATACCTCTGATTCTATTATATTCACCAGTTAATACTGTTCATCAGATTTTTTAATTCCCTTGGTTTTTATTCACTTGATAGTTACAAATTTGTTGTTCAAATTTTTATCTTTATTTTCTTCCTCTTCCTAAAGAACCCCCTTCAGCAATTCATATTATTCTGGTTTGGCGCTGATGAACTCCTTTAGTTTTTTTTTTTAATTTGTGAAGCCCTTTATCTGGTCTTCGATTCTGAGTGATAGCTTTGCTGGGTAGAGTATTTTTGGTTGTAGGTTCTTGCTATTCATCACCTTGAATATTTCTTGCCATTCCTGTCTGGCCTGCATGGTTTCTGTTGAGAAATCAGCTAACAATCATATGGGTACTCCTTTATAGGTAACTACCTGTTTTTCTCTTGCTGCTTTTAATATTCTCTCTGTCTTTTGCTCTTGGAATTTTAATTATGATGTGTCTTGGTGTGGTCCTCTTTGGATTCCTTTTGTTTGGGGTTCTGTGCACTTTCTGGACTTGTAAGTCTAATTCCTTCACCAAGTGGGGAAAGTTTTCTGTCACTATTTCTTCCAATGTTTTCAGTATCTTGCTCTCTCTCTTAATTCTGATGTTAGTTCGCTTGAAGTTGTCCCAGAGGTTTCTTACATTATCTTCAACTTTCTGAATTCTCTTGTCTTCTTGCTTCTGCAGAGGAGTGTCTTCTGACTCTTTATATTCCAAATCATTGACTTGATTCTTGCGATCTTCCATTCTGTTTTTAGTACTCTGCATTTTATTTCAGACAATGTATTCTTTATTTCTAGTTGATCCCTTTTCATATCCTTATAGGTCTCATTTATTTTATCGGCCTTTCTAGGAAATTCTTGAAAAACCTTATAAGCATGGTTTTGAACTCTATAGCCAGTCTCTGTTTGTCCTCCATTTCTTTCGTTTGTGATCTGTTTCCTTATCTCGGCATTTTTGCAGCTTCCCTGAGTTGGTAGGGAGGCTTTGTGTGTTACAGTGTCCTATATGGTTCAGTGGGTCAGCCTCCCAGTTATCTGAGGTAGACACTCTTGGTGCACCCCTTTGTGGACTATGTGTATAGCCTTGTTGTAGTTAAGTCTTGATTGTTGTTGTTATCACTGGGAGGAACTGACCTTCAGGCCAATTGGTTGTGAAGATCAGCTGTGTCTATGCCGGGAAACAGCCTTATTCTACTAGACTTGCAATTTTCTCTCTCTCATTCGGTGGGTTGTCGTTTCACCTTGACAGTGCTCTTTGATGAAAAAAATCTTTTCATTGTTATAAAGTCTAATGTAACTATTTTTTTATTTTAGTTTGCCTGTGCTTTCAGTGTCATATCCAAGGAATCAACACCAAATCCAATGATATAAAGATTTTCCCATATACATTCTTCTAAGAGTTTTAGGTCTTATGTTAAGATCTTGATCTATTTTTAACTAATTTGAGCATATGATGCACAGTAATGATATAACTTCATTATTTTGCATGTATATATCCAGTTATCCTAGCATCAATTGTTGAAAAGATTGCCCTTTCCCTATTGAATGGTCTTGGCAACCTATATATGATGGCTTAATTTCTGGTCTATTATTATGGTCTATATGTCTGTCCTTATGCTAATACTGCTTTAATTGTGGCAAATAAAGTAACTGTTACAAAACCATCTACAACTACAGCCTGCCCTATCACAGCTTAACCTAACAAATTACAGCTCTAGTCACAGTTCCAAAACCTCCAAACCTCAAGCAAAGAGGAGAAAACTAGTTCTCACTGTAACTCTTTCTAGGTGGCCTCAGAAAGTAGCTCACCTGCACCCCATTGGAGATCCAGAAGCCAGTGTACCTACTGGTCAGTGTGGGACAACACCAGATTTCAACTCCTCACATCCATAAGTGACAAATTCAAGAGGCAGACTCAGTGAGCACCAAAGCCCCACTGAAACAAGTCCAGCCCCGTAAGTGTGTCTCCAGCACAGCAGTTATTCCATTATAGACACAGCGGGTCCTCACAGCCAATTGACCTGGAGGTCAATTCCTCCCAGTGATACCAACAACAATCAAAACTTAACTATATAACAAGGCTGTACACACAGTCCACAAAGGGGTACACCAAGACTGTCTACCTCAGGTGATAGGGGAAGCTGGGAAGCAGCAAAATGCGGAGACAAAGAAACATGTCATGAATGAAAATGGAGGAAAGCAAACAACTGAACATAAGAGTTCAAAACCACATTTATAAGGTTACTCAAGAATCTTCTAAAAACCAGAGAAACTTGATGAGACGTCCAAGGAGCTTACTGAGACCTTCAAGGACTTTAATGAGAATGAAAAAAAAAAAAAAAAGAAAAGAAAAAGAATCAGTCAGAAATTAAGCATACACTGTCTGAAATAAAGAATATACAGAAATTCAACTGTAGATTAAAGAACCCAAAGAATCAAACCAAAGATCTGAAATAGGAGGAAACACCCAAAGAGAAAAACAAAAAGAAAAAAGAATCCAAAAATATAAAGATAGTGTAAGGAGCCTCTGGGACAACTTTAAGCGTACCAACATCCGAATTGTTGGGGTGCCAGAAGAAGAGAGAGAGCAAAATATTGAAAACCTATTAGAAGAAATAATGACTGAAAACTTTCTCTACCTTATGAGAGAAATAGACTTACAAGTCCAGGAAGCACACAGAACCCGAAACAAGGGGAATCCAAAGAGGACTACATCATAATTAAAATGCCAAGAGCAAAAGATTAAGAGAGAATCTTGAAAGCAGCAAGAAAAAAAGTTAATTACCTACAAGGGACTATTAGCTGATTTCTCAACATAAACTATGCAAGCAAGAGGGAGTGGCAAGAAATATTCAAAGTGATAAATAGCAAGAACCTACAACCAAGATTACTCTACCCAGCAAAGTTATCATTCAGAATTGAAGGTCAGGTAAAGAACTTCACAGACAAGAAAAAACTAAAAGAGTTCATCACCACCAAACCAGGATTATATGAAATGCTGAAGGGTATTCTTTAAGAAGAGGAAGAAGAAAAAGGTAAAGATAAAAATTATGAACAAAATTAGAACAAATACATACCTACTAACAAGTGGATCTAAAAATCAAGTGAGTGCCGAAACTGGTTTGGCTCAGTGGATAGAGCGTCAGCCTATGGACTGAAAGGTCCTAAGTTCGATTCTGGCAAAGGGCATGTACCTTGGTTGTGGGCACATCCCCAGTAGGGGGTGTGCAAGAGGCAGCTGATCGATGATTCTCTCTCATCGATGTTTCTAACTCTCTATCCCTCTCTTCCTCTCTGTAAAAAATCAATAATATATATATTTTTTTAAATCTGATGAACAGAATGGACTGATGAATGTAATAGAATCAGGGACATAGAAAGAGTGTACTGATAATTCTCAGGGGGAAGGGGGTGTGAAGGGTGCGGGAAGAAATTGGACAAAAATCTTGAAGACAGTGGTGGGGGTAAGGGCATGGGGTGGGGTGGGGAATCAGGTAGAAGGGAGCTATGGGGGTCTGGGAAGAGGAACACCTGTAATAATCTGAATAAAGATTTATTTAAAAAAAAAAAAAAGAAAAAAAGAAATGGTAATGTGCTAGGGACAGAAATAAGGATATCACTAAATTATTGGAAAGATAGTGTATGGAGAGATCAGAATTTTATAAAAACGTTTTGTTTTGTTTTCCCTGAAAAAAATTAAGGAATCAAGTCAGTAAGTCTTATTATCAAATGCATAAATTAATTCAAAATTTCTTTCAAATGCCTCAGGAACTGATGGGGAGAGGTGAGAAGAAGAGGGACAGGGCCAGCAGTCCCAGCACTAGCTTCTATACTCTGTTAGCTAGAGCAGTTCCCTTTTTACTAGCTTACACTTTGGACATCTAAATGATTTCATCTGAAGTGTCCACTGCTAAAAACACAAATCTAAAGTCACAGATTTAGATCAAAAGGGCTAATAGTTATTCATCACATATGAGAAAGCTGCAAAACTATATAAGATTGTTTTTTTTGTAACCATTAATTGCTAGAGGAACAGAATGGTGCAACAGCATGTTAGTCTGGGAATCAGACTAGTCATTTACCTCGCCTAGGCCATTTACCCTCTCCTGATCCTCAAATACTTAATTTCTAAAATAAAGGGGTCTTTACTCAATGTCTAAGGTCCTTAAAAACTTAAGACACTCTTGACAGGTGGTCCAGTCAACTTGGTAGCAGGCCTATATAAAACATGACTTTTAGGAATATAATCATATGGTTATGATTATGATACAGGGGTACTATGACAAAATGTGTTAAGGTTTTAAGAAAATGAATAGCAAAAAAAGTAAAATAGCTTTTCAAAGATAGGTAAGTTAAAAATCACAACAATAATTCCAGTCAACTTGTTACTTGTGCTTCTGCAAATCTACTCCTGGAAAGACAAGATCTTGTTCAAGATGTTAACCTTAACAAAGTGCAGCAGAGACCATTTAATCAAGAAGAATTAGGAAATAAATTAATAAAACTCTAGCCTTACTTGCTAATATTAATTAACCTTAAGCCCAAGAAAATCTTAGAATTTTACCCAAATTTTCTAATTTCCTAATCATTTACTCAATCTATAGAGTAGAAAAGAAGCATGTTTTCCAAATTCTTAATCCAAAATTCTGTTGTTTCCTTAATGACATTCATTGTGTTGAGACAATTTATCAAGAGCAATTTTATGTCTCAGGTTTCCCTGGCTCTGTAAATAACATTCTTTGTGTTATGCTAATCCAGACAAATTTATGCAACTCTCCAATAATCATAAGCAGGGAGTTTCTGCTATCTGGAAGACATCCCAGCACTACAAAGAAAAGACAATTAACAGTTCCACCAGGACAAGGGATTCTCACCTCACTTCTCACACTTTGTGAATTTTACACTACTTATTTAAACTAATAATCACAGAAAACTGCAAGTTTTACCAGGCTACAAAGGTTAAAACAGATAATTTTCCATTTTCCATTAATGATATAAAAAGTTTGTACTAGGTACGTGTTTTCCAAAATGGCATTTAAATGATTATATATTAAAAAGTACTAGTTACAATTTTTCCCTTTTTTCAGTGTATGATTTTGACTTACCCCTCCTAGATCCTTAATGTCCTTTTGCAGTTTTTCAGAAATAGTGACAGAAGGTAAGTCGATGTAAAATATCTTTCCCCAAAGTGGCTTATATTTGGATTTTTCTGGTTTGTTAACAGTTTTCAGAGATTTCAAAGATGGTCTGTTTTTTTCATTTTTGAGTTGGATTTCACCTATTGTTTAAAAATTTAGAATTAGATGTTTTCTGCAGAAAAAAACCAAACTTATATTGTTTTAAATAAAGGTTTGTTGTTGTTTTTTTAATACACTAATCATATTACAGAAGGGGGAAAATCTTTTATCCCACCAATTTAAGCCATATTTCTTTGTGGTGCCACTTAGGATGATGGGGAAAATGCCCGATATAGTTTAACGGATACTGTATCCTAAAGCAATTATTGTTTACAGCCAAGAGTAAAGTCTGAAGGAAAGATCCATGCGTTTATGTTTTATGTATGACGGTAAGGAACTAGTACATAAAACCTTATGGAAACATTTTCCTCCCAAAGTGCAAATTTCATGGGGTATTTGCTCAACAGAAGTTTCTGGAGCACTGCCGTTCTGCTGGGCACTCAAAACTGGTACTGCAAATGCTAAACAGTGGGCCCAGCTTGGGGGGGCGGCTCCGCGGCTTGGAGGTGAGTGTGGACGCGGGGGGCACTGGGTCGCCAGTGGGATCTCCAGGGGCCGGGCACGGCCAGGGCTGGGGGCCTGAGCCCCGGTGGGGGCCCTGCCTCAGGCAGGGATCCGTGTTTCCATCTCTCACCCCCTCTCCTTTCCGCTGTTTCCTCTCCTCTCTAAACTAACGTCAATAAAAACATACATTTAAAAAAAAAAAAAAAAAGTAAACATGTAGCAATGTAAGAACCCTGTTTCCGAGAATGGCCCAGTCCTCGGAGATGCCTCGCTGCCCGAGGTGTAGGTTCATGGAGCGTCTGTCCATCTGTCTGTCTGTCTGTGAAGAACTACAGGGTCCATGTGAGGCCCCGGGTCCCCATTCACTCCACTCCTTCCAAGCTGCTCTGAACATTGCCTTTCAGAACACCGTCTGCTCCTAAAGGGGGAGTACCGGGGCACACAGCACACTACCCAGGGGGTGAGAGGGACTGAACTTCACAGGCTTTGTTTGTGTTTGTGTGTTTTTGTTCATCTACAGGAAAACAGCCCGCGGTGGGTGTGAAACACAAACCCTTTCAGCTTCAGGAGGGAAGATCACAAAAGAATGAGGAGACCAAGATTCCACCCACAACCCCCCGCCCGCTTCCATCACGAAGCCAGCAGCCGGGAACTTCTGCTCTTAAGCGGAGGATGGAGCCGCGAGGTCCCGGGGCGCACACTGCTCTCGGGTTTCACAAGGGCCCCCCCCCGGCCCTGGAACTGGGGGGCCGCCGTTAGGGCTGCGCCAAGAGCCGATCCCCTTTTGAGGCAAAACCCTGAACCGAGGGGAACCCTCCTTTCAGCCCACACGCCAGGGAGGCAGCAGGGGCCCAAAGGGAGAACTCCACAAAGCATCCCCGGAGGACCCGGGGGAGGGAGCCGTTAAAGGGCCGGCAGGCGGGGGAGGGGCTTCCTACCCTGGGCATTTCCTTTGCTGTGGATCCTCATGGCTCCGGGGTTCATGGCAGCCGCCCGGCACCTACATGCTGGATCCCGAGAGGGCGTCGGGCCCGGAGGGCGAGAAAGCGCGGCTCCCCGAGGCTCGGAGGCTCGCCGGCCGCCTCCGTTCCGCAGACCCGCACAGCCGCGCTGTGGAGACACCAGGCCCCGCTCGCCGGACTTCCGGGCCCGGGCCGGGTTCAAGGATCGGAGGAAGAAGGGGAGAGGCACACACTCCACGGGCTGCGGCGGTTGAAGATTTGAAAACGCGTCACGAGGCCGCGGCGCCCAGACGCGCGCCCCGCCTCCCCACGCCGTACGTCCGGGCCCTCAAGCCCCGCCTGCTCGCGCCGCACGTCCCGCCCCAAGCCCCGCCTCCTCACAACACAAGTCCCGCCCCAAGCCACGCCTCCCCGAGCCGCGGGTCCCGCCCCAAGCCACACCTCCTCGAGCTGCACGTCCCGCTCAAGCCACGCCGCTTCGCGCCACAAGCCACGCCTCCCGGAGGCGCACTTCCCCCCGCAAGCCACGCCCCCCACGCCGCGGGCCCCGCCCCCGCCGGCCCGTCTCCGCCCCGCCCCTTCCCACCGCGATGCCCTCTGCCTCAGATCCGCGCTCGCAGACCGGCCGTCCGGCGTCCCTTTGCTGTCCGGAGGAGGCTCCGCGGCCCCGCGTCTGCCGCACGTAGGTGGATGCAGTTAGCGCCGGAGGCCGGCCCGGCCCTCCCCCGGCGTCCTTCCCGCCTCCTGGGGCCGGGATCGCCGGCCGCCGTGCTGCCGCCTTCTCCACCAGGTTCGCTTGTTTCTGACGCGTCGGCCGTCCGGTCGTCCGGAGGCGCGGCGGCGGCGGCGGCTGAGCCCGGACTCGGTGTCGGGCCGGGCGGCGGGGAGGCGGCGGCTGCCCCCGATCGGCGCGCCTCGGGTCGCGGAGCGTGGTTTCCCGCGATCCCCGCAGACCCCGCGGGCAGACACAGGCCGCGGGGGACGGGCCAGGCTGCGGGCGGCCGGGGGCGCTGCAGGGAGGGGCGGGCCCGGAGGGAGGGTCGAGCCCCCCTCTTGAACTTGACCCCGTGTGCCCCTCTGCTTTGCACAGACCCGCTTTATGGTGGCGAAGTTTATTTCACAGACTGGAATTGAAGTCTCAAATCTTGGGATTTGGGGTCTGGTCTGGACCCGCTTATAAGGGTTTGGTTAAATCACTTTAATCCCTTTGAGCCTCAGCTTTTTCATTTATAAAATGTGGATGATTATGGGATTATAATACGGATTAAGTGAAAAGATTTTGTAAAGTATTTCGATTTTGTTTTGTAGATGGGAATAGGTTGAGAAACACTAACATAGTGTGTAGTTATAGTCCTGGGAGGAAATGAAATGTGAAGTAAGAGAAGCAGTGATGAGCAGAGGGTGAGGAAATAGTGAAAGAGACGGAGAAAAGGCCACAGAGTTAGGAAGAGAACTGGGAACAGAATTGCTGTCAAAAATCACAGAAGCCCAGCCCGTGTGGTTCAGTGGTTGAGTGCCAACGTATGGTTCCATTCTGGGCCAGGGCACATGCCCAGGTAGCAGGCTTGATCCCCTGTGGAGGGTAGGTGGGAGGCAGCCAATTAATGATTCTCTCTCATCACAGATCTTCCTATTTCTCTCTCCCTCTCCCTTCCTATCTGAGGTCAATATATATATATTTAAAAGTCACAGAATTGAAAACATTGGAATTATGTAGGCTTCACCATATGGATTTGGGTAATTTTGAGTCTCAATTTTAATTTATGAAAAGGGATGATAAATACTTCTCAGATATGATGATTAAGTGAAACATTCTTATTAACACAGTCCTGGCACAGAGTGAGAGCAGAGCAAGTGCTTTAATTGTGGTAAACTCTGCACCAGCCTTTCTAACCTCAAGAATTCAAAAACTCTTAGACTTGATTCATTCTGGTTGTTTAAGATGTCATTGGTTTCCTTAGTGAGAATTTTAGTATATTGATAAGGTAAGTACTGTACTACCCTGTTTCCCCCAAAATAAGACAGTGTCATATTAATTTTTTCTCCCAAAGTTGCGCTAAGTCTTATTTTCAAGGGATGTCTTATCTTTCCATGCGCTAGGTCTTATTTTCGGAGGGGGTCTTATTTTCGGGGAAACACGATAGGTAATGGTAGGCTTGAAGTGAAACATATTGAGTGTACTTTAGCAAAAAATCTTGTCAGTGTAGGGAATTACAATAGGAAGGGAAGAGTGGGTCTTCGGAGGATATGGGAAGGATTTAAACATGTTTCTATTGAAGAAGATTAAAAAAAAAAAATGAAGCCCATGTTATGTTCTATTGGAAGATGAATTGCCTCCCTTATTTACTGTAATGAGGAAGGACAGTAATCTCATTATCCTTCTGCTTTTCGACACACCCTTGCCTGCATTTTATATGATAAAGCCAGCCTCTGAAAAGCAGATTCTGTTTTACTAGATAGTGTTAGTAACTTTCTAATCTGTAACCCAAGGTTAATTTAAAAGAAATTATTACTGGGACTCAAATCTTTTAATAGCCATCGGATGAAGGACTTGGTCCTATATCTGTGTCCTGCAAGTATAGAAACCTGCTCATATATTGGTAAGAGAATAAGGTTTATGTTCAAGTATATGTTGAAATGTGCTTCAGGTAAAAAGTGTACATTCAAAAAGACTATTTGTGATGCTAAGTTTGGTTAAAGAGTTCTATTAAGCAAAGTAGGAGAACATTGAGTAGAAGGAACTAATTAAATAAACCTTTATCTCTGAATCAGAAATAATTCATTCAGCATGGGCTCTGCTTCTAAATAGTTTAATAACCTTGGGCAAGTATTACCCTTTCTGTGCTATAATTTCTTCATGTATAAATGCAGACAATATCTGCTCACTGTACCTAGCAATTTTTTTTTGTGATTGTCCAATGAGAACTAATTGACTTTTTCAGACTACCTCATACAAACACAAATATAATTTTCTTGTCCTATAATGTAGATTCAAGACAAACTTTGTTCTTCTATAATATCATCACTTTCCTATTTTCTTTTGCTTAAGTCTCTCCACCGACCTGGCAATTGATCCTCCTTCCTATTTGTAGCAAGCCTAGCTTATATGCAGCCATTATTTCCTGCTCATTTGGGGCCTGTAATGATTCCTGTTTGGATTAATTTGCCAACTATGATATACTATCTCCTGTTGCTACTTATGATCTTTAATTTTCACATTTTAGAGTCTCATTACTCTGGTGAATTGGAAGGCCTAAGGTTTTTCAGAGGTTAAGTTCTTAGGTTTGCAGGCCAAGCACAGGAGAGGATAGAGTTGGTTAGTGGCTGTGGCACTGAAGCCCATGTCTCAGGTGAGCACGGCCGGGAAAGCAGGAAAAATTCAGCATGTCAGGTCATTGAACACAACCTAGGGGAAGGGTAAAAATGGAGAAGAAGCCATACAGGAAGATTCCGAAACTGAGAGTGGAGCCTCCTGAGGCAGCCCAGTTCAAAAGCTGCTGTGGCACCCGAAGTAGCTGTTAAAGATCATGAACTGGGCCTGGCCTGCTGTGGCTCAGGAGTTGCGCATCGACCTAAGAACCAGGAAGTCAAGGTTCAATTCCCAGTCGGGACAAATGCCCAAGTTGGTGAGCTCTATCTCCAGTATGGGATGTGACTGGTTCAAAGCTTATATATCATATTCTGGCCTTGATTGTAAATTCTTTTAGGGTAGGTAGTACAGAATACCTATTTGGCCATGACTGTAAAACTGTTTGGTTACCTGTCCCACTTTCTTCTTTCCTTCTGTATTGATTGAGTACCTACAGTGTGCTATGCCAGTGAGAACTCATCATGTACCTTTAAAAAATGTTTAACACTCTTCATAATTTACATACAATAAAGTGCACCCATTTTAAACATACAGATTGATGAGTTCTAACAAATACGTATGTCCATGTAACCACCACCCCATAGAACTTTCATGTCCTCTCAGAAGGTTATCAGCCCTTGTGCTAATCTCCCTTTCCCCACCAGAGATAACCATTCTTCTGATTTCTATTATCATAAGTAGTTTTGCTGGATTTCAACTTCATATAAGTATAAACATATAATTTATCTGTTTTAGATCTGAATTATTTTGCATAACACATTATTTTATGACCCATCCATGTTACTACATGTGTTGGAAGCTTGTCCATCTTATTGCTGAGTAGTATTTCCATTGTGTGAATATACCACAAGTTATTCATTCAGCTGGTGGTGGATATTTGGGTTGTTTTAGTGTTTGGGCTGTTACGAATAATGTAGCTATCAACATTGGTCTTTTGGTCTTTTGTGGAAATATTTTTAATTTTTATTTATTTCACTAGTTTTTATTTTTGTTGGACTTCCTGGATCATGCGGTTACTTAATGTTTACCATTATGAGAAAGTAGTGATGTTTTTAACCTTTCTCTCCAGCAATATATAGAGTCTCACATCCTAGGCACTCGTCTTACATAGGGCTTTTTGTTTGTTTACTTTAGAACAGCACATCTTTGTTTTTCATAACATATTGCTAAATTTTTCTCTAATGGGGTGATACCATGAAGTGATCATTTTAGTTTTATTATAAATCATACATATTAAGTATAATTTTTAAAAGTTTAATGCCATAGGATTTGGGGGAAAGTTATTGGGGAGAGATGAAACATCTTGCTCAGCTCCCAGCAGGTAGATTAAATAAAGGTTAAAGTGTTATTTTTACTATTGGGTTATTCATCATTATATTGCTGTAAAATGTTTATTCTGCTGTCCATTACAATTCATGTGAATTCTCCCACGATCTACTTAAAGTAGCTTCTTTCAGTCTTTGAAATTTCTTTCTTTACTACAGTTCTATTTTGCCCCACTTAACAGTCTTTGCATATATTTTGATTCTTATTTTATTATCCAGGGTTATTTTATGCTGAGGTACTTTGGGAAATTTATATAATTGATAATAGACTTATACATTTGTGAATTCTTATTAAAGATTTGATCCTAAGCAAAATTTGGTTCTAACTCACAATTTTTATCAAACTTTAATTACTTGGATAATAGAAAGTTTTGGGGCTAATACTTCCATAACTCTATGGCTAGCATTTTTGGAGTGTTCTTCATATTTCTCAAAGCACTTATCAGAAAGCAGCCAATAAATATTAATTTGTGCCGGGACCGGTTTGGCTCAATGGATAGAGCGTCGACTTGGGGACTGAAGGGCCCTGGGTTCGATTCCAGTCAAGGGCATGTACCTTGGTTGCGGGCATATCCCCAGTAGGGGGTGTGCAAGAGGCAGCTGATCGATGACTCTCATTGATGTTTCTAACTCTCTATCTCTCTCCCTTCCTCTTTGTACAAAAATCAATAAAATATATTTTAAAAATATATATATTAATTTGTATTTTAAAGTTTTGTACATGCTCCTTTCCTTTGGGCTTGTTATCCTTTTCCTGTGTGAAAAGATAAAAAGTTTTTTGTTTGGTTTTTACTACAGATTTTCAGCTACTGATGTTACAAACAAAACATTGGAGCATAGAGTTGAGGAAAAGACTTAAACCAGGTAGGTACCACAGCGATCTTGAGAAAGAAGAACACAGTTGGAGGGATCATGCTATCTGATATCAAACTACTACAAGGCCATAATAATGGTACGAGACATAAAAACAGACATATAGGTCAATGGAACAAAATAGAGAGCCCAGAAATAAACCATGTCTTTATAGTCAGTTAATATCAGCAAAGGAAGCAAGAACATACAACAGGGTAAAGACAGTCTATTCAATAAATGGTGTTGGAAAAATTGGACAGATATGTGCAAAAAAAAGGAAGTTAGATCACCTTCTTACATATTACACAAGAATAAACTCAAAATGGATTAAAGAATTAAATGTAAGACTTGAAACTATAAAAATCCCAGAAAAAAATACAGGGAGTAAAGTTTCAGACATTTTTCATAACAATATTTTTTTCTGATATGCCTCCTGGGGCAAGGAAAATAAAAGGAAAAATAAGCAAATAGAACTGCATCAAACTTAAAAGCTTTTATACAGCAAAGGAAAAACATCAACAAAATGAAAAGCAGCCCATTGAATGGGAGAACATATTCACTATTGAGAAATTAGCAGTAACCTTAATATCTAACATTATGAGACTGATTAAATTAATAAAATTAAAAACTTCAAGCATTAAAAATAATAATGCAGATCTATATTTACTGACACTGTCTATATTTTAAAATGTCAAAGAGGTCTACTAAACAATATGAATAGTAACTTTTTCTTTTTCAATTACAATTTACATACAATGGTAGTAACCTATTTTTGTTTCAAAAAAAGTATGTACCAAAAAAAGTATGTACACAGATACACAAACATTTAATCATGTTTAATTAATATCTACATATACATATAGGGTGGGGCAACAGTGGGTTTGCAGTTGTTTGTATGGAAAATCATAAAACATAATAATACAAGAATAAACTGCTTCATGTAAACACAACAGTAAATCTACTTTCGCCCCACCCTGTATATAATCTATGCACAAAACATTTGTATATTTACATATGTGTTTGTGTGTATGACATTTGGAGAGATGACACCTATATTTTGCCAGTGGTTATTTTGAGTAGCTAGTTTATATGTGATTTTTATGTTTTTGTTAACTGAATTTTTAGAAAGTATATTTTGCTTTTCTCATCAAATTTTTCTAATATGCTTCTTATGGAGGTTATGTGTTTTTATTTTATACCTTTTGGTATGCAGTAAAAATAGTGTTATATTTGCTGATAACTGCCATATTAGAGTATCTGAGTAGTTCTTAAGAGGCTAAATTCACAGATTCTGAGTCTTGTTGTTCGGTGCTTTCAATTCTGTTACATAGAGTCTGTTTTCTTAATGCTTTATTAGCTGTCCTGCAAGGGCAATGCTGCTCACAATGCTTAGCTGAAGTACCCTTTTTGAAAAATCCAAGAACATGTTCTATTAATGACAGTCATGTAATGCCTTTGTGTATAGAACTTACGCATTTACTTTTGATAGTTGTCACAACATGTGCTTTGACATTAATACTAATTGTTTTTATAGTTTTTAAAATTTATAGTAGTGAATTTTGAGGACATTTTCCATTAAACTTTTATTTTTCATCTTGCTTTTCTTTAACAGATTTTTCTTCAATTAGTTAAAAATATGGATCCTGAATCAGAGAGACCACAGATTTGCAATGTAACACCTTTTCAACAGATTGTTGCCTCTTGTACTGGGGCCATACTGACATCACTAATGGGTAAAATAATGTTACTGATACAGATTATGTAACTGGATGAATCAATTCATTTGAGTTTTACTATCTGTGAAATAATGCTAATGTTATTATTCATCCTTTATAAATAACAGTATCCCTCCATCAGCATAACAAGAAAAGAACCCAGGACAGAATATCGAGAGACTTGAATTTTAGACCTTGCTTTGTCATTCTCAGGGTGAATGTACTTTAGGATTCTCTCTACTTCTCTTGGACTTCATTTTTCATCTGTAAAGTAGGAGCTTATCTTAGGAGTTTTCAATAGTCCCTATTAGTATTAAAATTTTCTGACTTTTATCCTTTTTAAAATAGAAAGCAAGAAGATAAAATAAAGTTTCAGCATTATACAGGATTTGGGCAATTTATAATAGCAATAAATACAAATTGTTTAACCTTTCTTATATTAATGGTGAATTTCTTAAATTTCTCTGGACCACATTTTTCTATAGGGTTTTATTGTTTTTTTAATTTATAGTCAATTTCTTATAAACACAACCAAATGACATAGTTAGATGACAGTTTAACATATTAATGATTCTAACTTGGCTGGTTTATTTAAATAACTTAGCAGATGACTAGGACAAACATTAACTAGAGACCCCGTGCACGAATTTGTGCACATTGGAAAGAATTTAATTAGAAGGTGGGCAGTGGGGTGGGACTGGGAGAAACAGATGGCCAGACACACCCTGGAGCCAACCTCCCTTGGTCCCTTCCTGGCCTGCCACACCTGCTAGCACCTTGGCTCAAAAGGCGTCTGTGGAGTGAGTGAGGTCCCTCCGGCAGGTGAGGTCCCCTGGCCTGGCCTGTGGGGATTGGGCCAAATCCTGCTCTCTGACATCCCTCTGAAGGGCCTAAAGTGTGAGAGGAGTTGCTGTCATACAGGGTGTGGAACGCAAATGCAAATGTTCAGTGCCCCAGCAACAACATAACCCATGGACAAAAGTGGAATTGTGTGGCCCCATGAGGAATCGAGCTCCCTCTTCTCTGGTTTCAGGGTGCACCACCCAAGAACCACTACTGCCAAGGCAGCTCCTGCTTTGAGTGTCTGCCCCCTTTGGACAGCGCATGTCATAGCGACTAGTCACACAATATAGGAGGTACACTTAGCCTTTCATATATATATATATATACATATATAGCTTTAGGATGGAAATATGTTACTCCAGGTCAGAATGTTAGAGTTGTAAAGGCCTTAGAGATCATTATCAGATGAGGGAAAATTTTCTTTGGAACCATTACTAGGCATTTTTCTGTTTGGGCCAGATAGAGCATGCAAGTTAAAACTATTCTCTTTTGCTGTGCTGTTCCAAAAAGGAATAACACAGCTTGTTGGTAAAGATGCTGTATGATTAGTTTACTCAAATTTATATTAACTATAGTTTTCATTTGATAAAGGTAAATTTAATAGATTAGGAAGACTAGTATTATTGATTATTAATTACATATAATACAGTTATTCTCCATATTTAAATAGACTTTTGGACTAGTATTTTAGTTTTAATGTTAATAGAATTATAGATGATGTAGAAAAATTTTAAGTGACATTTTAGTATTTGTAGCAGAAGTAATTACATTGTCTTCTCATTGATCCTCTTCAAACAAAATTCAAGGGTAAAAATTAGAATGTTACATCAAAAATCACTTTAAGATAAATAATCTTACCCATTATATAGTCATGAGGAATAGTATGGTCATACACAAGTTGGGGCAAAACTAGGCTTATAGTTGTTTATATGGAAAAAATACAATAATTAATAAAAGAAATAATACATATTCACAACTGTAAACCTACTTTTGCCCCACCATGTATTTTGTGTACCTTGGACAAACATTTCTCAATTTACATGTATCTCTTGTTAATTGAAATTTAATGTATCTTCATAGTGACACCCTTGGATGTTGTTAAAATTCGACTGCAAGCTCAAAACAACCAATTTTCCAAAGGTATGTACTAGTTATGTACTGGGAGTTTATGTAAGATTTTTAGTGCATTCATTTTTGCTTGAATGTTAATCTTTTTTTTTGTCAATTAAAAAAATTTTCCATAATGCAGAAGCATGTTTTCATCACCTAATTGTACATGATGAGATCTAAGTAGAAAATAAATGCATATATAATACTTTTATAAACCTAGACTAATTAGGTAAGAGAATGATTTTTAATTTGGGGTATAATGCCTCACAAGTACGAACAGAATTAACTTGTCAGGGAACTTAAAATTTAGCTTGCTCTTTTGTCCAAGAGCTAAGCCAGTTCTACAACATCAGTAGTCATCCTACAGTGATAAGAAACTCATTATCAGTCAGCTTGGTTAATTGCCAGGCAATATAGTGGTGTGCAACCTGAGAAGAGCAATTATCTATTTTCATTAGATGGGCAAAAATGGCAATTTCTTCACCCATTTTTATAGTTTTATAAAGTAAATGGCACTTTAAAACATGTTTAAAAAGGAGAAAACTGACTGGACTGTGAGGAACTTGGCTCAGACATAAATGCCACTCTGTTGAATGTGTAGCAGTGAGATGGAATGAACAGCAGGCATATTTCAGATGAATAACAGGATATATGGATTATAAGAAGAGACTAAAAGGTAAGGTCGTTTCCTGCACATTAAAGAAAACCTTAAAAGCAGGAGGCACTTGAGTTATATATTATGAAACTTACAGAATTATGTACGTGGTCAAACAGAGAAGATAGTTTTGACAGCAAGAGTTAGTCCAATAATGGGAAGGAGTTGGTATTAGAAGAAGTGGTAAATTAGGTGGGAGATGATGAAAGTCTAAACTAGCATTATTTACATTGGTCAAGAAGACCAATTTTTTCTATTTTTATTTGTGATACATTTGACAAATAACACTATTAGTTTTAGGTATGCAACATAAGGATTTAATATATATGTATACATGGCAAAATGATTACCACAAGTTGTTTAACATCCATTACTTCACAAATTTATTTTTCTTGTCATGAGAACTTTAAAAGTCTACTCTTTTAGCATCATTCAGATATACATGAGGTTTCATAATATATTTCTGTCTGCATTTCACTTTCATACCACAGAGTTTTCTTGTCCAATAGAGAAGACACTCATATTCTCATATCAAAACAGGTTTTCCTCCTTTATCTTTTCTCTCCACTCCCCCAGATAACAAAACAAAAACAAAAAATTGTTTGTATTTGCTTACTACAGTTCTGAAAACATAAAATTGCCTCACTTTTAACCACTGTGAATTTAGATACCAACACTGTGTCATTAAGCAAATCACATTATTTATATTTCTTCCTAAAAGGTGAGGACAAGATTATATATTTTCTTATAATTTTCTAGTCCCCTCCTTATAATTTCAATTTCTTCATGAATAAAAATAATATAATTGTGTGACATAATTGTTGACTTTTGTAATCTTCTTTGTTAGGAGAATGTTTTGTATATAATAATGGACTTATGGATCATGTCTGTATCTGTGAAGAAGAAGGCAACAAAGCATGGTATAAGAAGCCAGGATATTTCCGGGGAACATTAGTAAGATTATATTATGTATAATCACAGTATATTTTCTATTTTTATATCTAATCTTGTGTGAAAGATCTTTCAAATTATCAGACAGTAAAATTTAATCATATAGTTAGCACTTCAATAGCCACAGATAAAATGTGGATATTGAAGCAGGGAAGGGAAGTACTTCTTTGCTTTTAATTCTTTAACTTTCTTTTCATGCTTTAAAAAAAAAAAAAAACTTTTCATTAATCCTCACTGGAGGATATTTTTCCCATTGATTCTTTTCAGAGAGAGTGGAAGGAGGGGGAGAGACAGAGAGAGAGAGAAAAACATCAGTGTGAGAGAGACACATCAGTTGGTTGCCTCCTGCAGAGGAGGGACTGGGAATCAAGCCTGCAACCTGAGGTATGTGCCCTTGACTGGAATTGAACCCATGACCCTTCAGTCCACACGCCGTTGCTCTAACACTGAGCCTAACCGGCCAGGGCTGTTCATGCTTTTTTATGTAGAACAAAAGGGGGGTTGTATATTATTTAAAATTTAAAAATATTTTTTATTTTGAGATCATTATAGATTGTACGCAATTTTAAGAAAAATATATAGATGAATTCCAAGTACCCTTTTTCCAGTTTCCTCTAATAGTAACATCTTACAAAACAAGTATAACACCACAACCAGGATATTGGCATTGATACAGTTAAGATACAGAACAATTCCATCCCCACCGGGATCCTTCTTTTTCCCTTTTATAGTCACACCCATTTGTGCTTTCACCTGCTCTGAATTCCTGGCAACCACTAATCTGTTCCCATTTATACAATTTTGTAATTTCAAGAATATTATTTAAATAGGCTCATAACATATATAATATTTTGGATTGGCACTTTTTACTTATGTAGAGATTCATCTACATTGTTGCATGTTTCAAAAGTTTGTTTCTTGTACTATTCCTTGAAATAGATATTGAGTTGTTTCCAATTTTTAGCTATTTTGAATAAAGTTGCTACATACATTCATTCACATATTTTGGCGTGAAAGTAAGTATAAAAAACTATTCATTGTTTTTCTCTGTGAATACTTCATTCTGAAGAACTTTTTTCAGCATTCTTTATTAAAGGTATTTTGTCAGAGTATTCTTTCAGTTTTTGTTCATCTAAAATGCACTTATTGAGCATTTTTTCAAGCGTGTTTTTGCTGCATATAGAATTCTGGCTTCACTTTTTTCCTGTATCATTCTCTCTCCTTTCATCTATGACTTATTGAAATAAGGTTGTTATACTATTTTATACATGGTGGGGCAAAAATAGGTTTGCTGTTCATGTGGAAAATGAATAAATAGCAATACAAGAATAAACTCTGTGTTTTGCATACTCCCCACTGAAAACATACTTTGCCCTTCCATTGATTTGCTCTTTGCTGTTTCTGTTCTGCTGTGAAGCCCACTTAGTAAATTTTTCACTTTAGATATAGAGTTTTCATTTGGCTGGCTTTTTTATAGTAACTTTTTTTTTGAAATTCCAAATTTGTTCATTCATTCTGCATATATCATGTTTTAAATTCTTAAGCATGTTTAGAATTGCTGCTAATAGTTTCATCTGAATCATTTTTGTTGGTTTCTACTCACTACTTTTTTTTTTTTTTTTTTTTTTTTTTTTTTTTTTTTTTTAGTATGAGCACATTGTCTTGTTTCTTTTGTTTAATGAATTTTGATTGGATAGTGGATTTGTGAGTGATTATTATAAAGTCTGGATTCTTCCTGAAGAGTCAGTTTTGTTCTAAAAGGCAGTTAACTTTGGCTGGACTCAAACTTACACAGGTGCTTCCCTCTGGCGGCCTGCAGGACCCTGTGGTCTTCTGCTGGGATTGCATAATTTAGTAGCGAGCCTTGTGGCTGCTACTGCAAGTAAATTGGGGGCTTATGCCTTGGTGTAGTGCCTTCCTTTCAGGATTTGCCCCCTCGCCGTCTGACTATTCTTCCTGCCTGGACTCTGTACTTGCCATCTCAACCAGCTGACTGTGCTGTGGGTTTTTTGCCACTTCCATAGGCAAAAGGCTGCAGATTTGCAAATCTCACTCATTACACTTTGTCCTCTAACAGCAGATTTCCCTTCAGTTTTTGCCTGGTTTTGGTCCCTCTCCAGAGATTTCAAATATTGGGTTTAAATAATATTTTCCTCAGATTTTATAAATGGTGAGCAGAATTAATCTGACAAATTCCCTGCCATTATTCCACTTTCTTTTTATATATTTTTTTAAAACTTGGTTTCTTTGTATTCCTCAGCTTTGGATTGTTCTAATTAGAACAATCCAAAGCTGAGGAATACAGACTTTATTCTGTAAGCCGAAAGTATTATCCAGAATCCTTTACTTGTGTTGAAAGTTAATGACAATTCCTTAGAGGAAAAAAAAAAAAAAAAAAAAAGATTGGCCATACATACACCTGAAAAACTTGTATTTTAGAAATAAACACTTGAGAGAATCAAATTATCAGTTATTAGTATAAGTTTTTTGTATATCAAGTTTAGGAAAATATTTTGACTACTATTCTCTATTATAATTTTAGGATGCATTTATAAAAATCATTCGAAATGAGGGCATTAAATCCCTGTGGAGTGGCCTTCCCCCCACCTTGTAAGTTGAAATTTAGTATTTTCTTTTACTAAATGATGGTGTTGTTTTGTTTTGCATTATACCATGATTAAACAAAACTGTGTATTTTTAATATTAGAACTTTTTCATATTTTAAAATATTGTTTTGTGAGTCCCACAACCACCAACACATTTATGATTTGCGAGGAGGACTCATGGGACCTAAAGAAGGTTATCCTCCCGCCTAAGGTTTAGTAAAGGAAAAAGACAACAGAAGTTGGCCAGGCAATCAGCTCAGAGCCCTCCCTCACGACATTTGCACAGGATGTGCCTTTTTTTTTTTTCTTTCCTATTTTTTTTTTTGGGGGGGGGTGTGTGATTTGTGTGCTTATTCTTTCAGCATTGAACTACAGCAGCCTGTGTAAAGTGTTTCCTAGGGCTTTTATTGAGGATTGATCACACAGGCATATTCTGTGTTTGTGAACATGTGAACAACTCTGATTACTAAAAGGAAACTCCAGATCCCTAAAAGGAAAGTAGATGTTTACCAAAAATCCTATCATTTGTATAAGTAAATCCAGATAAGTTGAAATAATGCTCCAGGTATACCCGAAAACCTTATAATGGGGAATATTCCAAGGGCTACATTTTTTGAAGTCGGCCAAAGGTCAAGCATGCACATAATGCCTTCCTGAACGTATAGAAGATTTGAGCAACTAGGCTTGTTGTGTTGTCTGTGGTGCACAAGCATAACTTCCATGTTCAGAAATTAAGAACTTGGTGTTCGTTTTTTACTAAAATAAGGAGATACTGTGATAAGTATACTTTTCCTTTTCCAGATAATTTAAATTTTCTAACAAGCTGTTATATGAATTAATGTGATAAACTAGTAAAGCCAAATTAAAAATCCCAAATAATAATTTGCCCTTATATACCTCATTTCTTTCTAATTTATCTTTTGGTAGTCAACTTAGAGGCATATATTTTAACTGAATAAGGTTATAAAGTTAGCGGTTAGATCCAACAGTTAATTGTATTTCTAAATTCTCATCATCAAACTTCATTTTAGAACATTAGACATTCCAAAATATGGTTTGTAATGTACTTTAACTACATCTAAAGTACATAGAAAGGTTTTTTACATTAACATAGAAAGGTTTTTTGTTGCCTTAACATTTATGACGTAAGTGTCTGCAACTGTATTTAATTTAATTAATTCCCTGTTGAAAAAGCTGCAGATTTGCAAACCTCATTTATTGCACTTTGTCCTTTTATAGATTTTCCTTTATATATAATTATATGTAATTATATATAATTCCCATATAAGGATGGCATCATTAGTGGTGATTTATTTCCAGTTTTGTAAGGCGGTATGAAGTATGATCCATATGTCAAAAATAGTTCCAATTACTCTTGTACTTTTTACGTCAGTGATTTTTATGTTATGGTGAATATAATTGGGAGGGAAGATTTGGGAGGTCAGAAACAGATAGAACAAGACTAGGAGATAGAGAAGTGTTCTCATTTATCTTTTACTATTTATGATCTGACTGGTGCTCTAACTTATTTTCACAACTAGAATGTAAACTTCCGGAGGGCAGATACCTATTTTAAAAATCTAATAAGTTAATAATATTTAAAGTAAAAGAAAAATTGATTTCATGGGCTGATTCATTATGGTTTTTAACTTATATAAAATATAAGGAATTTAGCTTTATTTTTAAACATTTTGATAATTTTGTGTAAATTTTTCGTTTGTGTGTTTTTAACAGAGTAATGGCAGTTCCTGCTACAGTTATCTATTTTACTTGCTACGATCAATTAACTGCTTTCCTGAAATCTAAATTAGGAGAAAATGAACGCCATATACCAATTTTTGCTGGAATTGTGGCCAGATGTAAGTAATACCTTTATTATATTTTCATTTTGATTTCTGCTTAAAGAATCTTTTACCATTTTGACATTCACAGAGAATTTATAAGAAATTTCAGAGTATTAGTAATACATATTTTGCATTTGTAGTTTTTACTGATTTTTAACATTTATACTCTAGAAGTCATATGGCATGGTAATTGCTATCAGAATGAATGTGATCAACCCATTTCTGTTGAATCTCAAACAGAGATTTTAGAATGAATTTAGGTTTTTAGATTCTAGATTTTAAGTTTAGTTGTGTGCCTCAAACCGGAATCAAACCCGAAACCCTTCAGTCCAAGGCCCACGCTCTAACCAGTGAGCAAACTATCTAGGGCTAAAAACAGACTTTTAAGAAATACCTTTATCAAGGAAAATAAATCTGCGCCAGTATGTTGGCATTAGATATTTGATGTTAAGGTTGCAGACTTTTCAAAATAGAAGTTTAAACATAAAATGTATGAACTATTAATTTTGGATGTGTATTTGCATAGTACATGGCTCTGGTTTTGTTTTTTAATATTTGCTTGTTTGTATTAGTTGGTGCAGTAACTGTAATAAGTCCATTAGAATTGATAAGAACCAAGATGCAATCTAAGAGGTTTTCTTATAACGAGCTGCATCAATTTATAAGCAAAAAAGTATCAGAAGATGGTTGGATTTCCCTTTGGAGAGGCTGGACTCCTACTCTTCTTAGGGATGTACCATTCTCAGGTAGGATTTATCATACTATTATCTGCTAAATTTTAATTAACTTTGTCTTTTTATATAGAACTTTAAAATCAACTATATTTTAAATCCCTTAAGGCTAAGTGTGAGCTCTCTTCTTTAGTAACCAAAACTTCTAGATCATTGCTGGGCTCTCAAAGCTTTATGAGTCTTTATTGAATAGTTTCTAATTTAAGCCTTGTTTTATTTTCTTCTTGTGTTTAATTTCTTTTCCAACATTAATTGGTGTTTATTTGCATTTAGATAATGCAAGCTATCTTTATTTATTCTAAGTAAATTATAATTATAATTATAATTTACTTAGAATAAGGTAAGTAAAGTATTATAATTTACTTAGAATTTACAGAGATTATAATTTACTTAGAATAAGGTAAGTAAAGTACTAAGTAAGTAAACTACTATAAATAAAAATATCACAAAATACATTTAAGAATGCCTATGAATAATATTGGTTCCTACTCTTTTTAATTATCAAGATAAAAACCTTCCCTATTAAATGAGTGTCTTATAAATAAGACTGTTATAAATATGATAGAAGATTGTGCTAATTGTTGAATTATGAAAAGGGTGAAAATCATGAAAAAGACATTGAAGGTTAACTTGTGGAATGTGCATAGTTCAGTACCATTTCTCTTGTGTATCGTAGTTTTCCTTTAAGACTTGAAAGAAATAATTATTAAGAACCATTGTATTAATGTTCTGTTTTCTTTTTTTTTCTTGAGTTAATCCTTTTATTGGGAGGGTTCTTTTATTCATATCTCTATACATCTTTCCCTTTCATTAGTATTTTTCTCCAACATTATGATCAGTTGATATGCTATTTAGAAAAATATAGTGTGTAATTAATCATAGACTCTTATGCCAAGTGTATTTTTAATTTTTGTATTATATATTTGATACAATAAAGGTAACATATAAAATATAAAGTATATTAATAAAATGAATATTTATGAAATCACCACTTCAATATATGAATTAAAACATTGCAATTTTTAAAAGAATTAGATATTACCAAATGAAATTTTAAATATATATGTTTATGTGAACCAGCACATCTAATACTGGAGAAATTCTTGTACACTAGGAGACTATTCACAGCAGCACTGTTTACTTCCTTACTCACACATAAACAAAAGTAAATTTAAAAGGACAAATTACCCTCCCTAGTACTTTCATTGTTGCAGTTCTTAATTTTTGTTTATCTACTAATTTAAAGTAGCAATCTCACTTTAACTTACAGTTTTCTGATTATTGCTGAGGTTGGACACGATTTCATTGGCCATTCTTGTATCCATAACTGATTTGGGTTATGGAGTGAATAAGTATTTGTTTTCCCCTGTACGTGGATGGATAGTTACCCCAGCATCATTTACTGAATAACCATAGTTTCTGCAGTGATTTGCAGAATCACCTCTGACATACCAAACTTTCACTGGCCAGTTTGCCTAACCCTGTGCTGATACTATAGTACTGTCTAAATTATTAGTGCATTATAAAAGAAAACTTGATATTACCTTATCCCCCCCCCCCCAGGAATGTCATATCTATTACATAACTCTTCTTTAAAGTGTTTTAGCAGAGATTTAAAATTTTCTTCATAAAGGTTATAAGCCACTTAAAAAAAAAAAAGATTTATTTCTAGATATACCCACCCATCCCCAATTTCTGGTAGCTATTTTAAAATCTATTATTTTTCCCTAGCTGCTTTGGCTAGGGCGTCAGCCTGTGACTGAAGGTCCCAGATTCGATTCCAGTTGAGGGCACATGCCTGGGTTGCAGGCTCAATCCCCAGTAGGCGGCTGCAGGAGGCAGCGGATCAGTGATTCTCTCATAATTGATGTTTCTCTTTCTTTCTCCTTATCCTTTCCTCTTGAAATCAATAAAATAGATAGATATAAATATAGATATATAAATTATTTTAAAATCTAATGTTTTTTTAAAAAGTTCCTAAATCCCTTTGTGCCTGAGTCAGTGTTACAGATTTTTCTCTACTGGCTTATTGATAGCTATTTTTAAAACTGTTATAATTCTAATTTGTTTTCATATCTTCTGGTTTGCCTATGTAGACATTAATATGTAAAATATAGCTACTTTGTTTCTTCACTTTTAACCATTATAGCTTTTATTTTTTTCTATAAAACTGCCTAGTAAAGTTTTGAATAGTAATAATGATAATGTTGCATCCTTATCATTTTCCTTGTTCTAAAGGAAATAGTTCTGTTGTTTCACCATTAATTATTTTTGGGATAAGTTCTTGATGCATACCCTTTACCAAGAACTCTTCTAACCCTATTTTTCTAAGAAATTTCTTTGTTTGCTTTATTTTTTTTAAATAAATCTTTATTGTTCATATTATTACAAATGTTCCTCATTCTCCCCCCCTACATTGCTCCCCTCCACCAGGTTCCCACCCCACCCACTGCCCTTTCCCCACCCCGCATTGTCCTTATCCATAGGTGCACAGTTTATGTTCAGTCTCTTCCCACTCCCCCCTCTCCCCTTTTCCCCGATCTTTGTTTGCTTTAAATAGAAGTGGTCCCATGGTTCTGTCAAAATGGTTTGTGGCATCTGAAAGGTTTATTATAGATAAATCAATTTAGTCATAGCAAATCAATCTTTTATGAAATACATCTGGCTTCAGTTGATTTTTATTATTTAATTTCTGTAAGATTGTATACCTATGTTCATGAATGAGATTGGCCTGTACTTTTCCTTTCGGCTACTGTCTTTGTTGGATTTTGGAATTAAAGTTCTATTTCACTGATGCATAGAGTTTTTGTTTATAAGACTGCTATAATATTATTGATAATTTTGTTCCTTTTTAAAAAATCTTATCTAGTATACGTTTAAACAGAAAACAAGATATGTAAAGGTTAGAATGTCTTTTCCTTTAATCGATAACCTCATCAATATTTTCTCTAATTTCGCATTTCATTTCTAAATATGCACTCATTTCATTCTTTTTTTATAGCAATGTACTGGTATAACTATGAACTTATAAGGAAATGGTTGTGTGTGAAATATGGCTTATATGAACCCACATTTATGGTCAACTTTACTTCAGGAGCATTGTCTGGTTCTGTAAGTTCACTCTTTTGTTGTTTGTATATCAGAATGATAATTGTCTTATTAAAACAGAACAGAATATTACATAGCATTTCATATCTATTGAGATAGCACTTTTGAGCTGCATTGCTTTAAAATTTTTCTGAGTATTATCCTATTTTGAGGGAATAAGTTACTAGCCATTCAAATATTTTAAAATACACTTTGTATCTATGTTTTTATTACATATTCATTATTATATTTTGAAGTTTTGGACTTGTTTGATAACTACAGTTATAATTATAGTAGTTTAAATAGTGCTTTGTTATTACAAGGTATTTTGCAATTTGTTCATTAAATGCCTGGTTAGGTAATATTTAATGGAGTGTCATCTCATATGTATAATTGAATAAATATAATTTCATTCTCTTCTGCTAATTTGTTTCTTTGGAAACATTTTAACTAAGTACTTTAGAACAGATTTTTTAATTGATTTGAGATAGAAACATTGATTTGTTCTCTTACTTATGCATTCATTGGTTGATTCTTATATGTGCCCTGACTGGGAATTGAACCTGCAACCTTGGTGTATCGGGACAACACTCCAACCAACAGAGCTCCCTGGCCTAGGCTGTCTGAGCACTTCTTAAATGAATTTTAACAAATTTAACAAAAGAATTTTACAATCGGAAGGGAGGAATGAGAATGACCTTTATTTTGTGTAGTAGAGTTCACCTTTTCCCACCCATTTACTTAATAAAAAGTCACGTAGTAGACTTTATGCAGATTCATGTCATCATGATCTTGGCCACAGAGAGTTTTCTTGTATCCACATTCTTACAAAATGAATTTGTGATGACTTAGAGTGAGGTGCTGACATATTGGAACCAAATGAAAACAAGAGTAAAGAAACTTATTGATGAAGACCTGCAAGAAAATATTGGAATAATTGTATCAAAAACCTAGGCTAAGAAAGCTACTGTGACTGAGTTCAAAATTCAACTCTGAATATACCCAGGTCTGAGATTTATAAAGCCTAGTGGGTTATAAACATATTGAAGCAAAAGAGCAATTCCTTTTTTTTTTTTTTTTTTTTTTTTAGCAATTTAATAGTTCCAATGCCAGCAAACTCTTCTCATTATCCCTCTTATTTGTGAGGTGATTAAATGTAATTTAATTGTATTTAATTTATATCTTAATCCATTGTGAAGAAAAAAAAAGTCAATTATTTTGTTGACTTTTTTTGGAATGACATCAGTTAACTTACAAATAAATGCTTACTATCTTAAACAGTTGGAATGACATCAGTTAACTTACAAATAAATGCTTACTATCTTAAAAAAAAAAAAAAAGTGTAATAATGGCTTGTTTAGCATGTTTTTTCCAGTTTTCCAGTAAAATGAAGGAAAGTTTTTTTATTTACTAATTCTGTTTAACATAAAAAATGTATTAAGAAATTTTAATGATCTAGAAAATATTGCTGCCTTTTGATTGTTTTCAAATAAAGTTTTGTCTTTGCAACAGAAAAATTATGTCAGTGGCCTGGGCAGCTCAGCTGGTTGGAGCGTTGTTCAGGACTCCAAAAGGTTGTGGGTTCAGTTTCTGGTCCAGGCACTTCCCTAGGTGTGGTTTTGATCCCCAATTGGGGTATATGTTGGAGGCAGCTGATCAGTGTTTCTCTCTCACATCAATGTTTCTTCCTTTCTCTCTACAATCAGTAAAAAATATTTTCATGTGAGGATTTAAGAAAAAAAAAGAAAAGTATATCAGTGGACAATGTCTGGGCTTCCTGTCAGAAAACAGAAAACCACATCATTTTAGAAAATATCAAAAAGCCATTTAACAAATATAACATCATTGCTATTTTTTTCCTACATGCTAAACTGTGTAAGTGGAGACACAATAATTGAGAGATCTTTGAATTCGATTTCATTTCAAGAACTTAAGTCAACATTTTTCAGTTGAAATAAAATATAAATGATTTTATGGGTCATTTTATGAGTATATTGATCAAATGTGAGTCCAGATGCCAAATAAAACATCAGGTTTATTTACTGTACATGGCTTTTATATCAAACTAGAGGCCTGATGCAAGAAATTCATGCAAGAGTAGGCCTTCCTTCCCCGGCTGCTGGCACTGGCTTCCCTCTGGGGACCCGGGTTTCCCTCCGGCCGCTGGCAGGCACCCAACCCAGGACCTGGGTTTCCCTCACAGCCCCGTTTCGTCCGGAAGGACATCCAGTCTAATTAGCATATTATGCTTTTATTATTATATATATATTATGAGACATTCTTAAGGGCATTTAATTATCTTTTTTTTTTTAACTTTCCTTAATTAGGTCATTGTGAAAATAATTGTTACGTTGGTTCCTTTTGAGATGAACTAGATATATAGGTGTATACAACTAAAGTTCATAGTCCATTTTCTTTTAATTTTTATTATGTTTTTTTTAAGCATTTGTTAGAAAATTTTAAATGCTTGCTAGATATTTGAGAATTTCTGCTTTAAAATAGGTATTATACCTTCATGAATAATAATAAAGGAATAATGCAACACAGGCATGTTGGGGATTGCAAACACTGGTTTCAAGTCAGAGATGTCTGGTTGGAATTATGTCTCTGCCACGAGGAGTTGTGTGGCCTCAGGGGAGTAGGGGAACTTTTCTGAGACGTTTTACTTATTCTTAAATTTTCAGAGAAATACCTAAGACATATATATATTTTCTTTAATAAAAGCTTTTCTTTAAATATATCTGGTTTTATTTTATGTGTTAGTTTAGTTATGATTTTCAGTGTTATCTTTATTAAATAGCCTGCTAATTAAGAGAATGTAACTTTAGGAAAAATTTAATGCAGATTTAAATCAATCAATTTTACTTTTTGATAGTTCGCAGCTGTTGTAACTTTGCCCTTTGATGTGGTAAAAACACAAAAGCAGACACATCTTTGGATGTATGAAAGTCATAAAAGTAAGTTTAATTCATTTAAAACATTTTAAGATACTACTATGAAAATTTTGTTTTTCTTTCCAGATATTAAGTTAGGAATATCTAGAATAGGGATAAGATTTTTTTCCCCCTCTGCTTTACTCTTTAACTGAAACTAATATACTCTTAGATAGGAATATCCAGGAAAATATACTGTAAACCCAAACAACAACAAAAAAATTAAGAAATCAAAGTCTGTTTATTTTGCCTGCTATCAGTTAAGTCTTATACCTGTTCTATGTAGAAGATTAAATTACATAAGGTTTTTGTTTTTGTGAGTTTCCCACCCCCCCAAATAAATCTGGACAAGTCAGAGTAAAGGATAGTAAAGTACTGGGAAACCTTTTTCTATTGTGTGTTCTGTTTCATTAGTTTGCCTGTACATTTTATTATTTTCTTGTTTACTTTAGCTTTCCTTTTTAAATGTTTTTTTCTACCTATTATCCCATCTATTTTTACTTTATAACCTGTAATCTCTTCTAGAACAAAAGTGTACCTTTGGTTGCATACATTAGATCTAGTCTGTTAGTATCATCTGTAGAAAGTATCATTAACCCACTGGAAATTATCAATTACAAAACTGGGTCATAGAGGCCTTGTGATAAGCCTATTATAATGTAAATAAATTGTTCCCCACCAGAATAATATTTTTACATGCACAGTAAAATCAGTATTCTAATGTTAAAAGAAACATTAATTATAGACCTCTGGAAATAAATCTGATGAGTATTAGTGACAGCTTTGTCCTTAATTTGCCAAAATGTAGTCCCTTCTCCACTTCCCTGTTTAGGTGCAAGCCTTCTAGCTGCCTAAGCCCTACCATCATTCATTCATTCATTCATGCATTCATTCATAGAGAGGAAGACAGAGACAGAGAGACATATGTCTGTTATTGCACTTACATATTTGTTGGTTGCTGCTTATATGTGCCCTGACCAGGAATTGAACCTGCAAGCTTAGTATATCAGGATGACATTCTAACCGACTGACCTACCTGGCAAGGGCCTCATTCATAAGCTTTATGTTTGAACCTCAATGACATCTATTTTTTGCTGATTTTTTAAAATATACAAATTAATTTTTTTCTATATTTCTGTTATTTGAGTGGTTGCAAATAAGTGAAGTGTTACTGTTAGTTACAAGATACATCTGCCCTTTGGAGGAGATAGGACTGACCTAATTTATTTCATCTGGCACATCTATTCAGAAGGGTTTTAATAAAGCAGAATCTTACTACAGAGAATGAGTTATTATCCTCAGAAACTCTTTTTAGAAAATAAATGTTTTTTTAATGTGTGCTATAAAAACTTAATGAAAAATGATTATCAGGACTTCTCTTTGGCTTTGGAAACCACATGAATATTTTTAAATATCTTTAAATCTTTTCATTATGAAACTTTTTAACATAAAAGTATAAAAGACACCTACTACCACGCTTAAGAAACAAACATTATCAGTCCAGAAGTCTTCTATATATTTCTCCCTTATTGCATTTAGTTCTATACCTTTAAACTTATAGCCTTTTAATAATCTTTCTTTTTTAATGAATCCAACTATTACAAATAACCCTATCTAATAAAAGCATAATATGCAAATTATCCATCACTCCACTATACCCACAGCCCATGCCCACCAGCCAGTAAGGAGCAAATATGCAAATAAAACCAACCAAGATGGCTACCAGCCACAGAGAACAGAAGGGAGGCTTGGGTTTCCCCAGCAATGGAGGAAGCCAATCTTTCCGCCTGCCCTTGCCGGCCTACCCCTCCACTCCAGGCTACAAAGTTTCAACGATAGATCCAAACAGAAATGCCGACAGCCATGGAGCTGGAAAGAGTGATATTTGGTTTAGGCTAGGGTTGCCCCAGCGATGGAGGAAGCAAAGCTTTCCACACACCCTGGCCTGCCCAGGCCTCTGCTTAAGGCTACAAAGTTTCAACTATAGAAGTTACATCAATTCCAACAGAAATGGCTGCCACCAAGGAGCTAGCAGAAGGTTTGGCTCCACTCCAGGCCACAAAGTTTCAATTGTAGAAGATAAATAAACTCTAAATAACAGGGCCTCTGCTTGTGTCACCAGGGGGCGTGGCCAGCCTGCAAACCACAAGGCCCCTCACTCAGGCCGCCCCATACCCCAAGGGAACCCCCACATTGATCCTGGACATCCTTCAGGGCAAACCAGCCAGCCCCACCCATGCACCAGGCCTCTATCCTAGAAAATAAAAGCGTAATATGCAAATTGACCATCACTCCAACACACAAGATAGCTACCTCCATGTGGTCAAAGATCCTGCCCCCATATAGATACAAGATGGTCAGCAGGGGAGGGCAGTTGGGAGGGACCAAGCCTGCAAGGGAGGCAGTTGGGGGTAATCCAGCCTGCAGGGGAGGGCAGTTAGGGGCAAACAGGCTGGCAGGGGAGCAGTTAGGCATCAATCAGGCTGGCAGAGGAGTGGTTAGGGGGTGATCAGGCTAGCAGCTAGAAACAGTCAGGGGCAATCAGGAAGGCAGGCAGGCAAGCAATTGGGAACCAGCAGTCCTGGATTGTGAGAGGGATGTCCGACTGCCCGTTTAGGCTCAATCTTGGTGATTGAGGGGTCCCAGATTGGAGAGGGGTCCCAGATTGGAGAGGGTGTAGGCTGGGCTTGGGGACACTCCCCCGCCCGCCCCCCCCCATACACGAATTCCATGCACTGGGCCTCTAGAATTTAAAATAACTTTTTAGACAAACTTGTTATTATATTGAAATGATATATTCCCAAAGGCCATACACTATTTTATGCATTTATCTATATTAAAAATTAAGGAGTAATTCATAATGCTATCATTTTTTTTTTTTTAACATTTAGTTTCTAAGCCTTTGCGTATGTCAACCTGGGCTATAATGAAGAACATTGTTGCTAAGAATGGGTTATCTGGATTATTTACAGGTAAAAATATTTGCTTTACCAAATTGTTAAATAAAATTATTAATTTTACTTTTAAATCTATTCTTCCTAAATTAACTATTCAGCAGTAAATTATTGAAAATAATTCACATTTATGATTTCATCCTAAACATCTTTTATAGGTTTAATAATGTTAAATGACAATTGATTTACTCTTAATAAGATAAAATTTCTATGTAAAGTAACTGAGTTAAATTGAGGAGGTTGGGAGTCTTATTCTTGAATACTAGAATATGGCACAATATTTGATGTATCACTTCATCTAATTTGATCACCATCAGAATAATTCCAAACAATAAATTTAAAATTTTATTTTAAATAAAATTTGTTCTGATATTTTTCTGTTCTCTTTGCAGGCCTAACTCCCCGTTTAATTAAAATTGCTCCTGCTTGTGCCATCATGATCAGTACATATGAATTTGGAAAGGCTTTTTTCCACAAACAAAACACTCAAAGACAGCAATTGTAGTGATGCTGCTTCAACTTGAAATAGCCATGGCCAAATAAGATGGAGACTCTTAGGCAAGAGCCTTTCTTTTGTCTTACAAGTGTTTTGTTTTTGTTTTTTTTTTCTCTTTCTTGCCAATAATTTAAATGAATAGAAATTTCTACCTTGACTCTAAATCATAATCCTTATTTTAAAATGAATTGTGTATTCCTAATTTTTGAGATAGTGAAAAAAGATATTTCAGAAATCACAACCACTGAACATATTATAAAGAAAAGAAAAGTTATTCTGTAACACTTGGAAGCAATAATCTCTTGAGAGTTTGATGTTAAAGATCCTGTATTATATACTGATACTACAAGGGGTGTGGTTTACTGATTGTATTAAATGTTCACTAGAGTCAAGCTTGTGTGTAAAGTGGAAAACTATATTGAATTTAGACAAGTAAAAATAATGTTTTGGCACAAGAAGGTCATCTGGTTTCACCATGTGATAATTCAGGTGTCACTGTGGATTCCCTAGGTCACTCTATTGGCTTGTTCTATTATATCTGATATTATTAATACAATGTCAGTTACAAAATATTTCCAAAATATGCATCTCACATTAGTATGCTAGAACAAGAGACTATACATACAATTTCCTTGAAGAAATAGCTTTTGGTCACTGTATGTAATGCCTAATTAACTTAGCTTATGACTATAGGAATGAAATAAAAAAAATTATGGCAGGACAAGAAATGATATTTTAAAATATATTTGTTTGATTTTCTTAGGATATACATAAAAAAGCACTTTATTGAATCTATGTGTGTTTTATGAAAGTGTGAAACATTTCTCCCCTAAAATAGGTAATATGTTTAGGTGTTAAAATTCTGATATTCACAGAGGAATTAATGTATTTGTATTATAGTAGGAAAAAGGTTCATATGTCTTACCAGAAATAAACTGTATGGGATTTATATATAACTTTTTGTTTTTATCCTGTGTTGATTTACCTTAAATTTGCAACATAAATATCCATAAAAATATAATTATTTTAACTTATGCTTTCATTAAAATATTTTGGTTAAGTTAAAATTATCACTGTACCTTTAGCTAATATTTTCATAAAATGTGTGTAAAAATGTTTATCTGGAACACTGGAACAGTATTAAATTTACCTTGGTTTTTCTACGCTTCTTTTTGATAACTTATTGGTGGAAAAAGGCAGAAATATTGAGATTTAGAACAATGCTTCAAAAAACAATCACATATTTTAACTTATAAATACCAGAAGAGAAATTTCCACCCACCCCCAACACTGACTGTACTTGTGGGAAATTCTTATGATTTATGACTAAAATAACTTATATATAACTCTCTAGGAGTTTTTCTAATACATATTGCATGCAATGTATTTGGATGAAAACCGAAAGCTTCAACTTTCTCTGTACTTAAGTAGTAAATAAGCATAAATACTTAAAAAAAAAAAAATAAAAGTAGCGGCCAAAAAGAGTTTGGCTAGAAATTGTGTTCTTGGTAATGTTGCTGAAAGGAAACTTTCATTTTATTGATAAATTTTCTAACATACATATTTATGTGTACATTTTTTAAAAGAAATGTCTTATTCAAGTATTGTTTGCTACTTTTCATATAATACACGTTTGCTTAAGAGTATAGAAGTCCAATAAATTTTCCTTTTATTTCTAGGAAAATTATTCACTATGCTTAATTACATATGACTCCCTTAAAATCTTCCCTCCTTTTTTCCAGGGCACAGATTCCAGGGATGTGGGAAAACAAAGTCTATCACTTTTAAACTTTTTCCAAAAATGTAATCTGTCATTCAACACTTATTGAGACCTTTATTGTGATAGGCATTGTGAAAAACACTGGAGAGAAGATGTTTCAGTGTGGGTGGAGGTGAGGAGGGTGTAGGAGGATAAATGGTGGTGGGAAAAAGATAATAGCAACAAAACTCTCAGAAACTGTCACTGGCCTCAAGTAGGTTTGAGAACTATGATTCATGGATTCTCCATTCAAACTGGGAGGAAAGGGGAGGAGGCAGGAAATGCTTCTAGGATTAGGGCAGATGATGCAGATTAAATATACCTGGAAGCTGGCAATGGGATATGTCCCAGTTGTTTGAGCAAGAGTATATTATACATGGCGATGTGGTAGGAGATCAGATTGGGGATGTAGTCAGAGGGTTTGTGTGCCAAAGGAGAAACAAGAAGACGACAAGAAACAAAGGAAGTATATTTAGTACAGCTCTAATACTTAAAGAGTTGAGATATTGGACACCTCCCCCAAGACCAGCATTTATTTTTTATTTTTAAATATTTTATTGATTTTTTTTTTTTTTTTACAGAGAGGAAGGGAGATGGATATAGAGTTAAAAACATTGATAAGAGAGAAACATCAATCAGCTGCCTCCTGCACACTCCCTACTGGGTATGTGCCTGCAACCAAGGTACATGCCCTTGATCTGAATCTAACCTAGGACTCTTGAGTCCACAGGCCAACGCTTTATCCACTGAGCCAAACTAGTAAGGTCGACCAGCATTTATTTTAATGAAAGAAAATAGAACAGAAAACACCAGAATGTGTCATGTAGTAAGGCCAAGAGTTGTGAAATTTTTATTTTAGTTGTGTTTTAGAAAAATAACTGACAGCATAGGAAATGTGACATATAAATAATGTAACCTATTTTACAACAATCTGAAGTTTGGTTTGGACTAAAATATGATTTTAAAAGGTACTATTCATGATACTGATATAATTTCATCTCCCCCTTCCTATCCATTAAAAAGAACAAATGTTGAACCTACATAGAAGCTGCTTTGCTTAGAGGAAGAGCAAAGTGAACTAACTTTAAAAAAAAATTAAGAGCCCTGATTTTCAAAGCAGTTATGTGACATTTCAGAGGTGCAGATTTCACCTAGTAGGAACTTTGGAAATAATTTCCATAAGTTGTAACTGTGAGACATTTTTAACCACTTGAAAACTTGTATGTAAGTCTAATAAAGATGACCTACAAACTGACTTAAAGTTTTGTCAATCATAATTAGTAGCTTGACTTTGGCACTTACCTATTACAAACATGCACGTATGATTTCATTTAGATGCCTGATTTCATTTAGATTCATCCTGATGCCTTCAGACAGGTGCTGAGAAGATGGTGATGTTTCCACTTGACGGGCAAGAATGCAAACGTTGGCAATTATGTGATCCCATCAGTAACACTGCCAGGACCATTGCTGTACTGTGCCACTCCAATAGCTGTGTGTACCCTAAAGGGTGTCATGTTCTTTAAAAAATAAAATGTATTCAATTTTATATAAGTTGAAATAAGGATTCTTCCAAAACCATTTTGATACTAATATTTTAGATATCTATATATATAAAAGTCTAATTGACCATCGCTGTGATGCACACTGACCACCAGGAGGCATATGCTTAAATACAGGAGCTGCTCCCGCTGGTCAGTGCACTCCCACAGCCAACTCCATGCCACCGGCCAGCCTCCTACAGTCCCTTCCCTGATCACCAGCCAGGCCAAGGAACCCTACCCGTGCACGAAATCATGCACCAGGTCTCCCTCTAGTTAGGTAATATACTTTTACCCTATTTGTCAACTCAGTGTGTAACCTGAATCAAGTAACTTTTTGTCAAGGGTAAATTAAGACCACTAATTCATGGTACAAAATGTTTAATATACATGCAACAAGTGTAATACATCAAGGCAACAAAATCCACATGGAAATAATAGCATGTACTTCAGCATTCTATTTTGGGGAGGGTGTATTAACAATAAACACTACTGAATGAAACTAAAGATTGAGACGTAAGTTGTTTCCTCATGCACACATAAACTCTCTCTAATTAGTATGAGATGAACTGAGTAGAAACCTGAATTCACAGCAGATGAATTTTATACCAAGAGCTCCAAGAAAGGAGGAAGCCATGGTCCTCAGGTGTCATGTTTAAACCTGCACTCAAGATGCACAAGTTACAGTAACACATTAGACAACTCTGAAAAATTGTATTCATTACGGAATCTTGAATTAACTTTCTGTATTATAAAAATGTATGGAAAAATGTAACAATGATTATTTAAAGTTACTGGAGGAAAATGTCAAGTTGAGAGTAGACTGTGAATTATAAAGCGTTAAAACATTCTGAAAGTTTTTAGGAAAGCAGCAGTAGTGCTTAAGGCCAGCCTAAAAGTTTTGAGGTTCCCCTCCTTAACCATTTCTCACTTCCTCCTCCCAAGATTCCCACTTCCCTCCTTTTATACCTTCCATCCCCATGCTGAGTAAAGATTGCTTTGGCTACCTCACTCACAATCAGCTGTTCAGAATTCAGAGATTAAAGATACCATTTCTCAAGAATATTTGCATTTTTACAAGTACTAAAAAGCCTTAAGCTAAAGGAATAAAGCTCTGAGTAATCCTGGTACATCTAAGATAACTTACTTTTAAGGGATTCCAGGCCTCCTTTGTCCCTGAAATGACATTGTTGGGACTGTCTTACTATTTATTATCTTAAATTCCAAATTATGAGGGTAAAGCTCTAAAGATTTCAGAGAAATGCCACATTCCTACATTTCCAACGCAAAGAATGACTGTGGTAAGTTCAGCACTTCTGCCTCCTCTCGACAAAAATAAATTGCTTTAGGAGGAACATTCTTCCTATATGTCAAAGCTACTAAGTTTGAAAGCAATGTTTTATTAGTAAACAAAAATATCACATAAGTCCCCAGTAAGTATTGTAGCCTCTTCGTGTAAACAATGTATAAAACTTCTTTGGCACAACTGAGCATGTTTTCCTCATATTACTGTAGAAAATATATTTAATCCATTTTCTTTTCCAATATGGTGAAGTTTTTAGGGACAAAAATGAATAGTTCCAAAAATTGCAATAAATAAAAAATAAAATATAGTTTAAAGCTGTTTTTAAAAAAGAAAACTTTTTTTTAACTTGTAGAAGTGCAGGGATTTTTTAATATTGACTTTAAAAAGAGACTGTGGCATGATTACTAATAGAAACTATAAAACATACATGATACTTCACTGCAGCCCATAAGGTAAAGAAAACAGCACTTATGCCGGACATTAAGTATGGTGATTACTTACTGATACTAATTTAAAAGCCTCTCACATACTTGATTGAACTTGAAATCTTCCCTGATCAAATATTTTTTTTCAACATCTTTCTACACTTTTTTAATGTTTAATTTTGGAGGCATAGTCAGCTGGGTTTTTTTAATGGATAGACTTTTAAGAACATTTTGGGGAAACAAAGGTAAATTTTCTTCATTTTATCTAAATGGCCTAAAATACTTTCCCTATGACCCTAACAAATTTAGTAACTGCCTAAAGGCACATTCCTACAAAATATATAAAATGTTAAGTGGAAGGTGAGGTTGACATCAAATTATGACTTGAAGAAAAACTGAATAAGCCACTGTCAAACTGCAGCTGAAAACATTCTCATATTAAAAACAAGTCTTTTAACATGAGAACGTAGGAAGAAATTATAAGTCTTTTTTAGAAATTTGAATCGTTGAATAAAAAAGGAAAGAAAATACTTAGCATAAATCTCTGGAATAAAACCTAGAACTTGGTCTCTGGCAATTATGATACATTTAAATATATGAAAATCAACTAAATAATAAATATGTACAATCTGCAAATGATTATTTAGAGGATCTTTGAAAAATGTTAGGCCTATTCATTTTAAACTTTCTCAGTGACAAATATAAGAATTTTTTAATGAAGAAAAAGAAAAGGCAGGATCTTCCCCCCCCTCCCACTCAGTTTACATGGAGTATATTGAACTCGAAGCAATAGAACTCCACATGTGTGCCAGAACAATATAAAATTCCAAAGGTTTTCCCAGCAGTCAAACTTAATAGAACTTCTGCAACATAAAATCTTTTGGCTTTTACATTAAAATGTTCAGGATGGAGTTAGGCCTGGACTTGTCATCTCTGCTGTAGGACTTGCAAGACAGTCATTGGATTTGAGGCTAGTTAGAGATTTGTAACTTGCCACTGATGTTAGAGACCCACAGAGACCAAGTAAGGAGGGAGTGTCTTCTTTACCTGAAAACAGGAAAAAATAACAAATAGTTAATTGTCCTTGAAGATTGATACCAATAAGGGCCTAAAAACACTAACAACTTCATACTTTTATAAAATATGGCAACAGCTGAAGGTTAAAACTTTTTGCCTCAGATGACAGACAGTGGTAGTGCCTAGCAGAAACAAATTAGTCACTAAGAGCAGAAAACTGATTTTTTGTTTTACAGCATAGCAAAAAGGACCAGTTCTGTTTTAAATGTGTTGATAGTGGAGTCTGGACTCTGCAAGTCTTCAAATGGCACTGCTACCAATGTTAAGTTAGAAGTCACTGGATGTAGGCCAAATGCCAGGCAATAAGATAACAATAAATTTAAAAATCACTGCTTGCCTGGTGGTGTGGCTCGGTGGTTGAGCATCAACCCATGAACCAAGAGGCCACAGGTTCAATTCCCAGTCAGGGTACACACCCCAGTTGCTGGCTGGATCCCAGTAGGGAGCATGCAGAAGGCAGCTGATCAATGATGTTTCTCTCATCAATGTACCTATCCCTCTCTCTCATAAAATAAAATAAAATAAAATAAAATAAAATAAAATAAAATAATAAAATATAAAATAAAATAAATAATAAAATAAATAAATAAAAATAAATAAAATAATAAAATACAATATAAAATAAAATAAATAAATAAATAAAATAAAATAAAATATAAAATAAATAAATAAACTATAAAATAAAATAAAAATATTTTTAAATGCTAAGATGTTGAAATGTTATATATGAATTATTGGCATTTTTCTTTTGTGATTGTACATAAAATAATGGTGTATCATAATTCTCACCCAAGGAGATATATATATATATATATATATATATATATATATATATATATATTTAAAATTGATTTTAAAGAGAAAAGAAGGGAGGGAAGGAGGGAGAGAGAAGAAACATCAATGTGTGAGAGAAACATAGATCAGTTGCCTTCCATATATACCTCGATCACAACCCAGGTATATGGCCTTCCCTAAATCAAACCTGCAACTTTTGGTGTATGGGACAACCACCAAATGAGCCACCAAACTGCAATAATGGTGTACCTTAAAACTTAGAGCATCTTAGATTTGATGAAATATGGCAGCTACTAATAAGTTACTAGCATAATATCTGTCCATATGGGGAGCTTAATATTTCTTGAAAAAAATAACTTCTCATCCTTTCAACAATTATGATGTCATGGTATGCAGTTTGAATTTTACTCTGTCTTTAGTGGGTATGTTTTAAAATATCACTGATTACTGTATGGAGAATGGAATATGAGGAAGCTAGAATGAGAGACCAAAGAACATTGAAATAGCTATGGCAGCAGTCCATCCAAGAGGCTTGCTCCAAGCCGCATAGACTACCGTGTTTCCCCGAAAATAAGACATCCTCCGAAAATAAGACCTACTTACAGGTTTCCTTCTGAGTGAAATATAAGGCATCCCCCGAAAATAAGGCCCCCCTAGGCTAAACATGAGAGATTTGGTCCACTGATTCTGAAAGAAATTGAGTCACAAGAAATTCACCAGGAAATTCAGGAATTGGATTGTTATGATGATGTTCCAGAAGATGATGACATGACTGTCATTGAATAAATGAGTAAATTCTTGATACTATAGGATTCACAGTTTGTCTTGTTTGTGTTGACAACTACCATACTATCATACCGTATTCAGGTAATAAATTGCCTTTATTTTTATTTAACAATAAACATGTACCGTATTCTTCTTCGTGGAAAAATAAGACATCCCCTGAAAATAAGACCTAGCGCATCTTTGGGAGCAAAAATTAATATAAGACACTGTCTTATTTTTGGGGAAACAGGGTAGGATTGCAGTAAGGAAGAAAGTCATGTGCTCTATGGGGAGCTGCCAGGACTTGCTAATAAACTGACCTACTGATGTAAGTGGGAAGTGTAGAATCTAGGATAATGCCTAGCAGGAGGTGGGGGGGGGGGGGTGCCATTTATTGCAATGGAGAAAGAAAAAAAAAAGAAACTGGAGGTCTAAAGGAATGCAGGTCCCCCCTAGGTAAGAAACTGTCCCTAGCTCTCACACACACCAGCACATGCAGAGCTGGGAAGGAGAGAGAAAAGATGTGAGTACTCTTTCATACCAGCACCACTTGTCCAATCCAAATGGCTGTATTCACAACTGTAGCCTATGCTGAGGGCAGGAAGAAAGAGCTTTGAACCAACTAAGCTATTGAACTTTTAAAAGGAATAGGTTGAATCTTAGAAACTGAAATGCGATCATTGAGAGGAACCTGAAAAGCGGTGAAATTTGAGACCAAGATGTAGTTGAGGAAAATGCAACCCAATGGAAAGAGAGGTTGGTTGATCCCAGCTGAAAGGAGTAATGGGAAAAACAAAACTCTTTTATGTCTATTCCCCATGCTTTTTTCTGAGAACTCATAAACAAGGTGCCAAAAGTGACTCACAAATGAAAAAATGGTCAGTTATAGCAAAAGCTGCTGAGTTTAATAGGATGATGCAGAGACCTGACTTTAGCAATATGGCAGTGGTTAGTCACCTTGATAAAATCATTTCAGTAAGTAGTAGAGACACAAAAGCCAAACTGGAGTGGGTAGAAAAGAGTGCACAGGAAGCAAGGAAGTAAAGGTGAAAACTGAAGAGAATCCGGAGGTTAACCACAAACTCATGAGGTACAAACAATAGCAGACCATTTTCAATCATAATGGCAGTTTAATTCTCAGCATACTTTGCAGAAATATTGAGATTATTCTTTAGCAGTCCTCTGCAGCCACAGAACAGATAGTGCAGGAAAAGTGCTTTTCAAGAAAACCTTTTTCCTTACCTTCACTGATTGAATTTAACGTGTCTTGTTTTCCATCGTCTTGTGACTGGCTTGGGTCCAGGGAAGTCTGAGAAAGGCTAACTTCAGCTGATAACTGGTCAAGATTTTGATAACTTTTTCTGTAAAACAACAGTGATGTATACTTAGATTTGTTCTCATAAAAATAATTTCTAGAGATATTCTTTACTGGTTTTCTTCAATTAATTGGTTAATTTCTCCCCAATTTTCTCCTAAATGTGGTCTTTATCATGGCTGCAGTATGATCTCCATTATATTCTTCCCTTCACCTTTTTTGTATGTTTATCTGTTTAATCCACTAAAAATGGAAAAGAAAGCAATTTTTTAAACAAACTTAAATCCTTGCACCAATTTGTTTTATTATTCAGCTTGTTAAGAAATGGGGACATCTGGTTATTATCAGGTGTCCAAGGAGGACAAAAATCTAAAGATACAGAACAAAATCGACAGAACAAAACTTAATAATGATCTAGTATCTTCTAAGCACTTCAGAATTCTTCAGTACCTTGATATTTTTATATGTGATTATTATAGTAAAAATTATTATAAATTCCTATAATTTAGAAGCTTAAAAATGTTGGGTAATAAAATATCTGTGTTAAAACACTATTCAGATAATTTACTTCCTTTCCTCATGTATTTGCAATTGTGAGCCCATTTTCTATTAATTAATTAGAAACATATTATATTAAAAGAATATCTCAGTTATAAATGGAAAGTTAATGAAGATTTATTATTAAAGTGTCCTCATATTTGTCTTGTCAGGATAAAATCAACTCAAGAGATATATGCAGCTTTGATGTTATTGCCATTTTTCAAGGAAGAGAACAATTAATTACTATTTCCAAATATAAATGATCCAGGAAAATGAACATGTTTTTTAGGTTCGATATCTATTTCCCAAGGTACTCAAACCCTAATTTTCTAGACATGTCTTGTGTTATATGTAATGTTATAGGAATGCATATATAATTCAAATAATCGATTACATAGTCATTCAGATTCACAAGAGTAGACTTAAAAATTTATCAAATGGATAGATATTAAGTACGGGGGGGATATATACAATAAGTATTTCCTGTAAGAAATGAGGTGAAGAATATGGTGATGGAGTAGCTTACAATGCAAGTGGTATTCTCACTTTATTAAATAGTGATTTTTCTAATGTTGGAAAAATAAAAGTTCTTAATTATATTTATAAGTGATGGGAAGTTCTATTATAGAAAACTTCTGATAATTATAATAGACTAGAGGCCCAGTGCACAAAATGTGCACTGGGAGGAGCCCTCAGCCCTGCCTGTACCCTCTCGTTGTCCAGAACCCCTCGGAGAATGTCCAACTGCCTGCTTGGGCCTGATCCCCAGGCCTAAGCTGGCAGGTGGACATCTCACTCGCAGTCTGGGATCCCTCGCTCCTTACCACCTGCCTGCTCCCTCCTTACTACTTGGTTCACTGATCCACTTGGCTCGCTACTCCTTAGCACTGCCACAGAGGCAGGAGAGGCTTCCGCCACTGCTGCTGTGCTCATGAACCATGAGCTTGGCTTCTGGCTAAGCAGCCTCCGCTGTGGGAGCACACTGACCACCACGGGGGCAGCTCCTGCATTGAGCATCTGCCCCCTGGTGGTCAATGCGTGTCATAGCAACCAGCTGTCCCAGTCATTTCACCATAATGGTCACTTAGGCTTTTATTGTATAATGTATATAGATAACAAGAATATGAGCTATTCAACAAGTAATTTTTAAAAACGACACCTAATATTAGCATTTAACGAATGTTAGGCATTGTTCTAAATACTTTTGTGTGTATTACTTAATCCTCATAAGTACATTAAAAGTTTGGAATTTTTAATACCCTTACTTTATAACAGATAAAACTAGGGCACAAAAAGATTGAGTTTAAACCTGGTGGCCTGACTCTAATTCTGTCTCCTGAACTATTATGCTCTGCTGTCTCCTTTCTGGTAAAGGAAGAAAAGATTTGGCCTCCTATTTTATTAGAAGCTATTCTTTAAAAAACAGCTCTGTTTGCTGAGATAGATCATGTAAACTATACTGTATTTAATCAAATCATTGAAAATTTCACTTGATATACATTAAAATCTTATTTGGCTATAGAGGAAAACAGGAACACAGGGATTTAATAAAGGAAGCTATGTATAGGTTTCTTTTCCCAATTATTTTCTGTGTCTTACAGGTAGGAGGCTTTCTTTTAAAACAATGGTATATGATGAGTTTCTGATACTAACTTTTCATCATAAGAAACTTGTTAATGTTATTAAAATGCAAAAATTACATAGAGATATGTTTACAAACAAAAAATACCCAGAAGCAAAACAATTTGGAATTCATTGGAATATTGTAAAAACTGAGAGCTTGACAAAAGCTCACATTTACGGCCCCCACGTGAGGGAGGAAACCTGTACAGGCAGCTCTGTGATTGCTACACAGCTTTCTGCGTGACCTATTGAAGTCCTCGTAGAATATCAACTTCCAAATCCAGTGACCAGGGGAGCGTCCTACCTTTAGTCTGTCACATTTAGTGAACAATCCCTGAGATACAGGCTTTACTTAACCAAAAGCCAATGAACACAGGGACAGAATTTGATAGACAATCCTGTTCTGCACAAATAATAAAAATTCCAAGCTAAAAGTAAGCCCCTTATTCGTAAGATATTAAGAACAATACCATACAATAACTGTCTTGCATAACACTGACTTATAGATCCATCATCTAGGAAAAATCTGGTTCAGACGTTTGCACTAATGACAAGAAATAGGTTGGGTTTTCACATTCTTAACTGATTTCCAACTTGATTTGCAACTACATCTCACAAACTGTTTTTGATACGAAGTAAAACTGTGTCTATGGGACATTAAAAGGTCACCACTAAATCCTATCTTAGAACTTTAGACTGATTAACATCACACTGTAAGATTTAAATGTAACCCACCAGAAACAACACACCAATTAACAGTCTATCAGTATTTCTCAGAGTAGAATTTTAAAAGTAATACCTTACTCAATCAAAATAAGAACCCAAGCGAGTAAGAGTCATGTATTATCCTATCTAATAAAGAGAGAATATGCTAATTGATTGTCATGCCCTCAGAAAGATGGTGGTGCCCACAGCCAATAAGAAGGGAATGTGCTAATTGACTATCATGCCCTCAAAGACGTCAGCGCCCACAGCCACAAGATGGTGGCGCCCAGTCCTCACAGCTCCGTGGGGGTGGCAGGCACATGGCACGGCTGGGCCCACCTCTAGGCTAGTCCAGCTGCTCCATGCACCTGCCTCCAGAATCCTCCAATCCCTCTCAGTTCCCCAGCTGCCTATGGCCAGCCTGAGGCATAGGCAAGCCTTGGATGTCAGCTGCCCAGCCACCCAGGGCCGCCTGAGCTCAGGTAACCAGGGCTGACTGAGGCTTGTGCTGCCAGCAGTGGCGGCAGCAGAGGTGTGATGGGGTATCGCCTTCCCCTGATCAGCAGGTCGCCTCCTGCCCTGAGGGCTCCTGGACTGTGAAAGGGGACAGGCCGAGCTGAAGGACCCCCCTCTAGTGTATGAATTTCCATGCACCGGGCCTCTAGTGACTACATAAAAGTTTATAGTCTAAAAGTTTGTGCCATTATTACATTGCTGAATATAATTTAAGTTAAACTTGTCAGAATTATATGTCATGAGCACTTGGGACATAATAAAATTCACTGCTTTATTATATGACTAAATAATTTAAAATCACTCAAATACAAATTTTAATATACAGAACTGGGTAACAAATAATAGCAAATTTTTAAAAAGGGGGGGGGGGAGGAGAGCTATAAGCCTGAATTCACTTTTAGTAAATTTTTTTTACAATCATACACTATGTCAGTGATCAGAAGTAATGATATGGTAATCTATATCCTTTACTTCCCCAATAGCTGTACTGATGTCAATAATAATTTACATTATCTGTTAGCCATTGGACAGCAGAGAATGTGATGCACAGAAGGAGACATTATTCACAACATAAAAACAAAATCTATAAACACTGTATACGCAGACATGCAACTGTGCATGAAAACAGAAATGTACTATTCATTTCATTCTTGGTTTGATTTTCATAGAAATATGTTGAAGGAAACAATAAGCATCTGTTATGGCAAAATACCTATCTACTCTTAATCTACTAAAATCAATGGAGGGGTCCAAGGGAGCCTTTAAGAGAGGGGTGTATGTGAGTTACAAACTGCAAAATAATGCTGCAGCCTCAGTGCTTTAGGGAGTCCAACTCCAAAAGCATACGAAATGCACACGGGAAGGAGAACCTCTAATATATCAAGGGTGATTGTCTCTATTGATAAGAGATCATTAAGAAAAATTACCCTAATATAAAAGCTCACAGTTCTCAGTAATTTTGTGAATGATAGCAAAGTTGAGAAGCAATGATACATTTAGAAGACTAAAAAAGTTTAAGTAGAAAATATAAATGTGACGACAATGAATTTGATCATTTGGGATGAAAATGGTGATTTAGACAGTAACCTTACAAGGTTATATATAACTAGTATCTAACAAGCTCTAGACTTTACAAATAAAAATATTAAAACAGAACTTATTAGGAAGAAAAATATAATAATCAGTTGCTCTATGTGTGTGTCAAGGGAATAAACTTTATATACTTAGTTATTGTTTGATTTTTACACTAAGCCTACAATGTTTTAATGTGATATTCCTATGTTTGAAATAAAAAAGAAGATATAAAATGCAGCATAACTAATCTTACCAGATCTAAATAATCAAGAAATAAATTAGAAATGATATTTTTAACTTTTATAAATACTACAGTCAATACAAATAAATTCAACATTTTCTATTGAAAACGGGGTCCTTCCATGAGTAGTTGATCACATAGCCAAGTTATATAATGGCTCATTTTAAGAAAAAAAAAATAGATAAATGGATTTTAAAAAATGATGTAGTACATACAGGGGTTGGCAAAGTAGGTTTATAGTTGTGAGTACATGAAACACAGTTTATTTTTGTATTATTATTTATTCATTACTGTACAGTAGTATTTTCCATATGAACAATGGTAAACCTACTTTTGCCTAGTATACA